TCCAGCAGCCTGCTTGGGAAGGAGGAAAGAAGAGAAAGAGTAGCAGACAAGTTGTCATGTTAGAGGATTTGACTATTCGGTTCACAGATCGCATTCTGTGCAAACCAGACCCAAAGAATAGAATGGTCAGTTGCTTATCGGATGCACTGTTGAGGATATGACGCCCTGGGTTGAAGAACCAGTTGTAGTTGCTTATGTGGAAAGAAATAACATAGATAGAAGTAGACCACGGGTCCTTCATACTAAAATTAGAGCATTAGGAAGGAAGCTAAATGGAAAGACTTCAAGTGAAGTATTTTCTGAAATATTATCCGAACTACGTGCTAGTGGGAAAGACCAAAGAGTGGCTAAGGCATTGGTGTAGGGATTCAGGCTTTTGTTTCCTCAAACAATGGGGCACCTTTTGGAATAGGGTGCATCTATACAGACTGGATGGGTTCCACCTAAACAAAAACAAGGGTGGAGAAGTTGGGAGGCAGGATATATAATTTGGTTAGGGACTGTTTAAACTAGGCACAGGGGTGGTTGCGGTCGGTGTAAGAGGGCACCCGAACTGATTAGGGAAAACCTTAAGTCGTACCAATGTAACGGGTCTAACTCCAAAGGTTGGAGAAAAAGAAACAAAAAATGCTTCTGGGAAAGGCAAAAAACAATGGAGTTGTACTTGCATTAATGCAAGAAGTTTGACCAACAAGATGCGTGATCTGGAAGGTCTTGCAGAGGGTGACAGATTGGACACCATTAGCATCACAGAGACATGGTAGAATGAAATACGCATCTAGAAGGTTCTAAACTGTTTAGATGGGTTCCACCCATCTAATCATGACCCAACTGTGCAGCGCCTTGGGACGTCCTCCTGACGTGAAAGGCGCTTTATAAATGGAATCTTGTTGTTGTTGTTGTTAGGTATATAGTACACAATATATAATCTCCATTATTGAGACACAAGTGAGATAGGATATAAAAAAGGAAAGGGCAGACACAAAATCACTTGGGATAGAATTAAAAGATGCAAACCTTTACTGGGGGTCTACTATAGACCCCCAGGCCAGGGTGACAACTTAGATCTGGAACTGTGGGATGAGATAAGGAAGGCAATCAGCAAAGAACCGTCAATAGTTATTGGAGATTTTAGCTTACCAGAAATTGACTGGAATAATGATGCGTCTCCTGGTAAAATAGGGAAGGGGTTTCTAGAGTTGAAGGAAGACTGTTTTATGACTCAGTTTGTAAAAGAGCCAACAAGGGGAGATAGCATCTTGGATTTGGTAATGAGTAACTGGGGGCGATCAAATCTCCAGCATAAAGGTGGGAGAAGCATTGAACAACAGCAATCACAATACAATCGCATTTGACATCACAAGGATTGATGAGGTTATAAAAACGCAAAACAAAACTCAAATTTCAAGAGGACCAACTTTGTGTGCTTCTTGGTGTGGGCTTGGCAGGCTTAAATATGGCGAAGGGAGTGGAATAACTATGAAGTTCCTTCAAAGAGGTGATTATGAAGGCAATGGAACAATGTGTACCCATGCAAAATAAAGGTATCAAGCTTAGAGACACTCCTGCCTGGTTAGATGGGGCTACAAAGAAACTCATCAAGAGGAAGAAAAAGGCAAGCCACAACTGTAAAAAAAAGGCATTAGAATGGCAAAGAAAAACTTTGAATTGAACATGGCAAGAGATGTGAAGGATAATAACAAAAAGGCTTTTAGTTACACTGAGAAAAAAGAAAAACAAACTATGGAATAGGGCCACTGAAGGTGGATTTGGGAGAGAACATGACAAATAACGCTGCACAGGCTGCAATAGTTCTAAATCAAGTTTTTTGCGTCAGTTTTTACTAAGGAGGAGACGGAACCTATCTGATCTGGAAAGAGAACTCAAGGATGTCGCAGAGGAAAGTTGCGTCACTATTCATATCACTACCAGCATGGCTGCCAAACAGCTGTGCAAACTTAAGTTAAATAAATCTCGATAAATTGCATCCAAGGATCTTTACGGAACTAAGGGAGGAAGTTGCAGATATGCTGGCACAAATCTTTCAGAAATTACTGAATACTGCCAGGGGACTGGAGAAAGGGCAGATTTCTCCTATTCTCCTATTGTTACTCCTATTTTTAAGAAAGTTAACAAAAGTAACCCAGGAAACTACAGACCAGTAAGTTTGACGTCCATTGTGGGTAAAATTAAGGAGACTTTTATTGAGGATAAAATCACAGAGCACCTGGACAGAAATAAAATCATAAATGATAGTTAATATGGGTTCATGAAGGAGAGGTTTTGCCAATCTAATTTATTGGTTTTCTTTGGCAGTGTGACAAGGGAGCTTGATAAGGGTAAGGCTGTGGATGTTGTGTATCTGGATTGCAGTAAGACCTTTGATACAGTTCCTCTTGAGAGGCTGGTACTGAAAATAAAGAAAGCAGGAATCAGTGGAAGTATATTACAATAGATATGTAAACTGGTTGACCGGAAGAACCCAGAGGGTGTTGGTACAGGGAACGTTATCAGACTGGGAAAGTGTTACCAGGGGAGTTCCACAAATGTCTTAGGACCTCTTTTGTTTAATATTTTTATAAATGATCTGGAACTAGGAGTTTCAAGCAGTGGCTAAGTTTGCAGTTAACACCAAGCTAATGAAGGTAGTAGATTGAGAAGCTGAACAAGACAAGTCACAGGAGGATTTGAACAATCTTGTGAATTGGGCAGATTGGTGGCAGATGAAATTCAATGTGGAGAAATGTAAAGTGCTTCACATCGGGATAAAAAATCCTGGAAGGGACTATTATTTGAACGAAAGGAAAATAATATGTACGGAAAATGAAAAGGACCTGGGGTTCCTGATTGACAATAAATTGAATTCTCGCATCAATCAGTGAGTAAAGCAAACCAGATGTTGGGATGTATCAAAAGACCAATAGCAAGCCGAACTAGTGGGATAATCCTGCCACTGTATAAATCATCAGTGAGACTGTACTTCGAGACTGTACAGTTCTGGTCACCAGTACAAAAAGGATATGAGAGAAATCAAGAGGATACAGAGGAAGGAAACCAGAATGATTGAGGGAATGGAAGGACTGGACTATGAGAAGAGACTAAGTAAACTAGGCGTGTTCACACTAGAAACGAGAAGATTGAGAGGTGACATGATTGCTGTCTTTAAGATTCTAAAGGGACAAAACAGTATAGATCATGACAGGCTGTTTCAACTTGTCCAGAATATAAAACCAGAGGACACGGGCTGCGATTGAAGGGGGTAAATTCAGAACAAATCTACCAAACACTATGTCAGTGAGCGAATAGTGAACCTGTGGAACAGGCTCCCGAGGGAGATGGTTAAAGCAGGAAATGTTGATTCCTTCAAACACAGATTAGATAGTTTTCTTTTAGGGAATAACATTATGGGATATAATAACGTCAGTTGTTTGGGACATATGTGCATGCGACCGCTAGGAAGGCAAGCTAGATGGACCTTCTTTTTCTTTCGTCTAGCATTTCTTATGTTCATGCCATAAAGAGGCGATTTTAAAATGCTCCAGTTCCTGAGTGAAAAAATATTTCTAAAAAATAGTCAATATATTTATAAACCTGCCTGCCTGAGGTTGTGATGCTGCCTTATCGCAAACTACAGCTGCTTCACCCACTCCCTTCCTCTTGTTATCTGCCACACTCCCTCCATTCTCTCTCTCTCTCTCTCGTCTGTCTGTTTGTCTTGCTCTTTCGCTCGTTTGCTCTCTGTCTCAGTGTGTGTATGTGTCAGTGTTGCTCTCTCTGTCTGTGTATCTGTCTCAGTGTGCATGTGTCTCTCTTTGTATCTCAAGTGTATGCGTGTGTCTCTTCCCCCCAACTTTATTTTCCTCTATCTTTGCGTATCCATCTGTGTCTCAGTGTCTATGTCTCAGAGTGTGTGTCTCTCTCTCTGTCTGTGTAATTAATGTAATTTGTGTGTCAAATGCAATGATTAGTAAATGCAAGGATTAGTGTGTGTGTCCTAGTGTGCGTATGTGTGCGTGTGAGTCTCTGTGTTTCAGTGTAGGTGTGTCTATGTATGTGTGTCTCTCTCTCTCCCTGTGTTTCACTTTCTCCCTGTGTGTCAGTGTGTGTGTCTGTCGCTGTGTGTCAGTGTGTGTGTCTGTCGCTGTGTGTCAGTGTGTGTGTCTGTCGCTGTGTGTCAGTGTGTGTGTCTGTCGCTGTGTGTCAGTGTGTGTGTCTGTCACTGTGCGTCAGTGTGTGTGTCTGTCGCTGTGCGTCAGTGTGTGTGTCTGTCGCTGTGCGTCAGTGTGTGTGTCTGTCGCTGTGCGTCAGTGTGTGTGTCTGGCGCTGTGTGTCTGTCGCTGTGCGTCAGTGTGTGTGTCTGTCGCTGTGCGTCAGTGTGTGTGTCTGTCGCTGTGCGTCAGTGTGTGCCTCTCTCTGGACCCAGGAGCAGGCAGATGGAATGTGACGTTTCCTGTTCCTGTCTGTTTCCAAATGCTTTAATGTTTTTATTATTAAGAGTAGTTTGGGTTTATGAGGAAACGAGGCGTTGCCCTCGGCTCCTGTGTTTATGTCGAGGATAAAAATAGGCAGAGTTCTGCCCCGCCCTTCGGGCAGTGCATCTTGGGTACTAATAATCATACTCAAATTTAATATATCAAAATGTCTCAAAGTAACTGCTACCAGGTGTAGTGACTTTAAAACAGTGTTTGTACAGTAACGCCGCAGCCAATTTGGCACAGCAAAGTCTCACAAACAGCCATGGAATGAATATGGAGATTGGCGGCCATGATACTGGGAAACGCTCACTTCTCTTCTCAAATAGCACTGAACAGACAGATACAACAACAACGATTTGACTTACATTGTGCCCTTTATGTGGTGTGGCGTCTTGATCAATGATCTGTGTATGGGGAGTGGGATGTGTGTGGGGGGATGGGGTGTGTGTGTGTGGAGGTGGGGGTTGCTGGGTGGGGGGGAGAACAGGGACACCTACTGCAGATTCACACTTTGTTTGTTTCCAGGTTTCCCATCAGAAGACTTCCCAGGTAAGAGCACAATTCAAATGCAAGGATTAATAGTTGCTGTGGGTTCTGGGTACTGGGGGAGGCTTCTATGGTTTGGGGCTGTTGGGAGGGGCCTGTGGGTTGGTGGTGTTGGAGGGTCTGTGGGTTGGAGGGTCTGTGGGTTGGGGGTGCTGGCGGTGGTCTGCGTGTTGGGGGGGGGGTCCTGTTGGGAGGGTCTGTGGGTTGGGTGTTCTGTGGGGGCAGGTCTGTGAGTTGGGGGTGTTGGTGTGGTCTGTGGGTTGGGGGTGCTGGAGGGATTCTGGGGTGGTCTGTGGGTTAGGGCTGCCGCGGGGGAGGAAGGGTGGTGGCGGAATCTTGACGTGGCTTTGGGAGTGTTGATCACGCCATGTCGTCCACGTTACAGGCAAGGAGCCGTGGTGCAGAAGGACCTGTCGCCTGATAAAAAACATGAGAAAAAGAACTTGGAAAAATCTCCTCCATTTGAGTTTGACCCAACAGGTAAGTGGGGGTGTGGCCTGAGGCCAGCAGAAGTATAAACTCTATCTGGTACTTGTCTCAGGTTTTGCTAATTGCCTTATTTGCAGGTCTGGTGCAACGCTGTGTTATCATCCAGCGCGACGAGAACGGCTTTGGGCTGACTGTCAGTGGGGACAACCCGGTATTTGTGCAGTCTGTCAAAGAGGGTAAGTACTTGCCTCGCCATCACTGGGACGTAAACTTGTACATCAACACTGGAACTATGTCATGAAAAAATGCATTTTTACCTTTTTCAAGAAAATCTAGTTATAATAATAATCCTTATAACTGATGAAGTGTGGAGTCCTGCAGCTCAGTGGTTAGAGCACTCGCCTCGCAAGCGAGAGGACCTGGGTTCGATTCCCAGCAGGGCGAAACATTGGGCAAGTTTCCTTACTCCACACGCCTCTGTTTACCTAGCAGTAAGTAGGAATCTGGTTGTTACTCAATTGGCGGATCGCTTTTCCGGTGGTAATAATCCCTTCAAAAAAAATTAAATAAATAATAATAATTTGATCTATCAATTCATAACTGTGGGACACTGCTGTGCGTAATTGGCTCCTGAGTTTCGCCTACAAAACGCACAGCCAATTCACTTTACAGTATGTTCTGCGAAGCGCTTTGTGGCATCTCAAAGATGTGATAAGGCGCTATATCAAATGTAAGGATTATTATTATTAAAACTGGAATAAATGTTTCAAGGATGTGACCTACCCCGGCCACGTCCCTGTCACCAAACCATTCACCCTGCTACCAGGTCATACCTCCTGTCACCCACCCCCACCACCCGTTCCCTGCATTTGGTAATTGGCTGCTGTGCTGTTTCTGATACCTGTCTTATTGCTTGACAGATGGAGCTGCAGTACGAGCTGGGGTGCAACAAGGAGACAGGATCATTAAAGTGAGTTTAACCGTTGTCTCTCGCTGTCCAGAGGAATCCTGCAACTTTCTCTGTAGGAATCTCGAGATGGGATGGGGGAACACTTACAAATACAAGCAGCCAAGACAAAGAAAGCCCAGCAACAGGGAAATGGAATAAAGTTCCCCCACAAAATATACAGTCACTACACTTTACAGTATATCCTATGGATCGTTTTGAGATGTCTTGGCAATGTGATAAGGTGTTCTATCGAATGCAGGAGTTATAACAAAGTCGGTTTGGGCACAGCAATTGTGTGAGTGAGCTCCCCCTGGTGGGTGCTTTGTGCAGTGCAGCAAATGCGCCGGCCAATACCGGACATTGGCTCTGGCATGTGAACTGGACAATTGCATCAAGACAAACATGTTACATGGGGTTCATTGCTGATGTGAGTGTGGCAGCTCCTGGCTGTTCTGTAATGTGCAGGTTCACATTTCTCACATCTCCAGCAGCGACACGGGTGTCACATGTATATTGTGTTTTATCTGCAGGTTAATGGGACGTTGGTCACTCACTCCAACCATGTTGAAGTTGTTCGGTTAATCAAATGTAAGTGATGCATCTACAAGGTACAATACAGCACCTTGGGACGATGTGAAAGGGGTGATACAAATGTAATTTGTTGCAGTTTTACAAGATTCTAGTCTTTGTTACACACAGTCTGTCATGGTTGAACCGGTTTAGATGCCTGTGAGTCACCCGTCCCTTGTGATGAGCTGCCCCAAAGATTGAGTGCTTGGGAAGAGCGACTCTTGCTAAGTATTGCCGCTGAGTTTATTAATTGTTTGAGAATTGTTTACAACTTTGTTCAGCTATTACATTAGCCAATTGAGCTGTGTTTATACAGTACATATACACAGTACTGTATCCTGTGTGTCTAATGGTCGCAGAACCATGTGGTGTATAATGCAAAATAGTTTGTTTCTGCAAAACTGTAACCCGGTGTGACTTCCTGCAAGCAGGGTGATGCGTGAAGGACAAGGTTGTGTTTTAGCTGCAAATTTATCTAGTTTTGTTAATTTTGCCTTTTTCTCTCTCTCTGACAGCCGGCTCCTATGTAGCTCTCACTGTGCTGGGACGGCCGCCAGGGTCTCCCCAGATCCCCCTCAGCACCTCCGATGGAGATTCGGGGACTTTCCTGTTCCCTGGGCAACCAGCTCCGGTCTTCTCTCCAACCAGCAGCACAGAGAGAATCACCAGCCCCACACTCATGGGTGTAAGTGACTTACAGATTCATGCAGCAGGAAGTGAAGGTTACAGGGACTGGAGTGAACAGCTGTTTATCAGAAGGAGGTCACTGATTGACCCCAGGCTCAACGCAGAAATTGTTGCTGTTTCTTCAGAAATTCTTCATTTTTCAGCTGTGTTGGATGTAATGAACGTCAGTCGGTCGCACTTTGTAAAACTGACCAATTGACAGATTTCAGCTCAAAAAAAGTAGACTTGGCCCCGCCCACTTTCTCTGGAGCCGCTCCCCCTCCCCGACACCTTCCTGTGTCACTGCACCCACCCCCCAACCCCCACCGGCTGCCATCACTGGGATTTAAACACAGCAATATTTTCCTTTTTACATTTGGTGGAGTTTGTGTTCGATGCAGTGGGGTCTGGCACTGGCACAGCTGCTACTCAAGTCTGTCTCTCACCCTCTCTTTCTCTCTCTGCAGGAAGACACCATTGTTCACAGTCAGAAGCTGCAGATCCTGCAGAGCATGTTGGACACTGAGTGTCAGCAGTATCAGGTGCGGGTGTGAGCGCAGGCGCAGCAAGGACCAGCAGTGTTTACTCAGTATGAAACCACTGTCCACTCACTCGGTTTCTCTCTCAAACAGTTACTTAAGGAAAAGTGTCAGAAAAACCCGACACAACAGCTGCTGCGTGAGAAACAGGAGGCAGAGAAACGCATCCACCAGGTTCGGGAGCAGCTCCACAAAGCCAGCGGCATCTCCCAGGTACCTCCCTCCTTACCATTCTCCTCTCCCTCCGCATTCCCCCCCCCAACCCCCTCATCCTCCCCCCTGTACCATCACCCTGCACCCTCCCCCCATCCCTTTGCTGGATATTCTGGGAACCTCGGAAACAGAGATACCTAATGTTCGGGGGAGGAAGGATGGGGATGACTTGTGATGTGCAGTCACTTTAAAGCTCTATTTAAAGATCCCAGTCCCCAGCCGAGGCCTTGGCAGAGTCTGCGAGAATGATTCTAGAGGATGTGGTCTGGTGACGCCTGGTGAGGAGAGTATCGCTGGGGAAAGGAGTTTGTCACGTTGGCTTAGGTGCAGCTCCTAGGGAGGAGCTGAGGTGTGTGAGTAGCTGAGGAGATGAGGAGTTGGGAGGAGATGAGGAGTTGGGAGGAGATGAATGAGGAGGAGGCAGAGCATTGGAGACTAAGGAACGAGAGGATAATTTGCAATGACGAGCTCGGATGAGAGAAGGATTGGCTTGCAGACTCTCTGTGTTTCACTTCCAGGGAAAGACGTGTGTTAATAATTTAGCCATTGATTGTGGGGAATATACGTTCTGTCTGTGGGTTCTGGAAAATCTTAATAAATGCAGAGTGGATGAATGGGGGAGGACATTAACGTGAAGGAGTGAGAAGGAGATAATAGAGCCCAAGGTGGACAGCACATTGAGGGGCCTGATCCTGTTTCGAGATCATCTGTGAGTGTGGGGCTAGGGGGAAGGGTGGGGGGCGCGGAGGTTGCAGTGTAGAGAAGACAGCATTCCGCTCACATTGATGCCCCACGTGATTGTTTATGTTCCCCACAGGATGTGCCGGGCTCAGCCACACTTTCCGAAACTTTGTCAATTGTTGAAGCAACGACTGAAGGTCAGTGAGAGGAATGTCCACTTACCCCCCCACCGCTCTCTCCCTGTAGTCTCTCTCTCCCTGGCTGTTTCTCTATCACTCTCTCTGCCTCACTCCTGCTCTCTTCATCACTCTCATTCTCAGTCTCTCACTCACTTTGTCTATCTCTCTCTTTCTCTCGCTCGCTCACTCTTAGTCTCTCTCTCTCTCTCTCTCTCTCTCTCTCTCTCTCACTCACTATCTCTCACTCTATCACAGCCTCTTTCTGTTCTATGTTTTTCATGTTTAGAGGTGAGAGAGTTGGAGCCGTATTTGCACTCCCCGAGCGAGAGTGAGATAATGGAGAGAATCCAGACTTCCTTCAGTCAAATCGAGGTGGGGACTTTATATCCTGAGTACCATCATTGGGGGGTGGGGGGAAGCAGAGTCTGACCCAAGAGCTGGGTTTGTGTGTAGGCGGTAGCTGGTGTATTTGAAGTCTTCCTGTTTTCAGTGCTGCTCAGCCCGTTGTTTCTGTTCGTCATGTTTGTAAAGTTTTGTTGTGCTTTGCAGACTGATGTGAGCCCCTTTGCAGTTCAGGACGGCCTCAGCCCCAGAGACTATCCTCCCAGCGGCTCAGCCTCCTTCAAGGACAGCGGCAACTGTGAGAGGGCGGAGACAGACGATAGTCCTGACTGGGTATGTCTGTGCGTCACATGGGGGGGATGTATTTATGGTCTGAATGGTCGTAAGGAAACAAAGTGAAGGCCATGGTCTCGGAGAGAGGAGGGGCTGAGGCCCAGGGGAGGGGGCGAGGTCCGGGGGGAAGGGGCTGATGCGTGGGGGGAGGGGTCCTCAGTTTTTATCTTGTTTCCGTCTCCAGGATTCGCAGTTGGGGAGCCCCCCTCTCCGGGGCGGAGCCCACATCATCGGAGCTGAGGATGACGATTTTGGTAACGAAGCCGAGCAGGTGAGAGAGTGAGGGCACAGCCAGGAGGCATGAGGGGAGTGGAGCCATGGGAGCCCGTGGGGGGGGGGGGGGGTTGGGTAAGTGGGCGGAGGGGCCTGGCAGTGCGGGAGGGCTGGTAGTGGGGAAGGGGCTTGGCAGAACATACCGGACCTGCTGTTATTTTCCACCAGGTGGACATTCAGTGCAGCTGCTTCCAAACCCTGGAGACATTGCGGTCCCGCCCGGCACATGTGGTGGCGTTTCTGCATCACGTCCTCTCGCAGTTTGACCCGGTTCCATCGGTAAGAAACCTGGGAATGGGGGGGGGGGATGGGCCTGCCTCAGGGAGACAGGCTGGGGAGTGGGGTCTGGCTGGGGGAGGGGGTGGCTCGGGGAGGCAGGCTGGGGGACAGGCTGGCTGGGTGGTAGGGCTGTTCCGCTGCCACTGAATGATGGTAACTGTGGTTTCTCTGCCCTCAGCTCTGCTATCTTTATGCTGAATTTTACAATCAGACAAACTCAAAGGAGAATCGCAGAGTTTTCGTGGAATTCTACCATTTATTCCTGGAAAAAGGAGCCGTGAGTAATCCCGCTCCCAACTCCCAGGCTACCCTGCGACCCCCCCCCACCACCAGGACCCCCAACCACCAGGACAGCCCCCCCACCCCCCCAAACTCCACCACCAGGACACCCCCTTCCCCCCACCCACCAGGACACACACCCCCACCCACCAGGACACCCTCCCCTCCAAAACTCACACGCCCCAGTGTGTGTGACTGGCTCACTGTCAAAGCTGGTGAGGCGCATTGTGACTTCCTGCCCATTTCTTTCCCTTTTTACCAGAATCTGAAGGTTCAGGCCCCAGAGGGAATCACCGCGGAGCTGGGTAAGTTCTATAATAAAATAAGAATCCTTGCACTTGATATAGCGCTTTTCATAGCTTTGAGACGCCTCAAAGCGCTTCACAGAATATACTGTAAAGTGAATTGACTATATTTGTGGGCAACATTTTCTCAACCCAATTGTCATGTGTGTCAGTCGGTGGCCCATGCGTATGGACACAAAATGCACATGTGAGTGTGAGCGCAGGCAGGCGCGCGAGTGTGAGCGCAGGCAGGCGGGCGAGTGTGTGCTGGAGCTGCCCACGAGGTGCTGTGTTGCTTTGTAGAGCGGAGGCGCCTGGATCTAATCCCAGAGGAGCTGCAGCGGCAGTTCGTGCAGACGGTGCAAGACAATGTGTTGGCAGAGGTGCAGGCCCACCTGCAGGACTTCAGGTAAATACAGCGTCTTACGGCGGCAGGGTGGGGAGTGGGGAAAGTGAACAGAGAAGGGCCGGGAGTGAGCGGTGGAGGGGCGCAAACGAGTGGGAGCGAGTGAGCGAGGGTGGGGGGTGCACGTTGGAGATGGGGGAAGAGGGGGGATCGAGCGGGAGGGGTGGAGCACGGGTTAGGGTTGTGATGGCTGATCCCGGGCTCTGTGTGTGTAACAGGCAGAAACGGAACATGGGGATGACGATTGGCGAGGTGGAACTCTCCAAGTTGGATTTGGAGCGAAGTCGGGATCGGAACATGTGTGAGCAGCGGGAACGTCTGTGCGCGGAGCAGCTGCTGCTGAAGATTGAAGAAGTTCTGTGAGTAACTGCAACTCCACCCAACAGACCACACGTGTATGTCTGTATCTGCCTCACTCTGTGTCTGTATCTGCTTCACTCTCCTGTGTCTGTATCTGCCTCACTCTCCTGTGTCTGTATCTGCCACACTCCCTGTGTCTGTATCTGCCTCACTCTCTGTGTCTGTATCTGCCTCATTCTCCTGTGTCTGTATCTGCCTCACTCTCCTGTGTCTGTATCTGCCACACTCCCTGTGTCTGTATCTGCCTCACTCTCTGTGTCTGTATCTGCCTCACTCTCTGTGTCTGTATCTGCCTCACTCTCCTGTGTCTGTATCTGCCTCACTCTCCTGTGTCTGTATCTGCCTCACTCTCCTGTGTCTGTATCTGCCTCACTCTCCTGTGTCTGTATCTGCCTCACTCCATTTCCTTGTGTTTTTCAGGGCGACTTTGTCACCAACAGAGGAGGAGAAAAGGTGAGATTCCAGCCTGATAACTGCAGCTCCCTGGCTCCCCTCCCTCCCCACTCGCTCCCATTCCCCCTCCCCTTCCATTACCCCCGGCTCTCCTCCCCCTGACTCCCCCCCCCCCCCGGCTTTCCTCAACCCCAGCTCCGCTCCCCCTCCCATCCAGCCTCCTCTCCAAGCTCCACTCTCCCCAGGCTCCCCTCCCCTGCCCCCCGGCCTCCCCTCCCCCCGACACTCTCTCTCTGTGTTTATTTGCCAGTAACTCCATGTTGGACGTGATCCTCACTTACATGAAACACCTCGGGGTGAAGGTGAAGGACCCGCGGAATCTCGACCGTGACCGTAGAATACGAGTCGCGTTCTTTCCGAAGAAAAAGGTAACGGTTTCCACAAAGTTATAGGATTGTTACAACATTGGGACTCGTGGTAGTGCAGGAACAGTCGTGTTGCACTCCGCCATTATAGACAGCGTTTGAAAGTCAATCAGTCAAAACTAAATCTGCCTCACACCTCCCCGCGTGTCCAGAGCTTCTGGCCTGTGTGTGCGGGGGGTGGAGTGGGGGGGAGGCGGTGGTGGGGTGAGTAGGGACCGATTTTCTGGCCTGACTTGTGTTTATTTGGTCACAAACAGGCGAGTATAAAGAAGGAAAAGGAAGATGAGAAAAAGAAACGCTTCCAGAGTATCCTGGACCCGATTCGCCGCACGAGCAAACAAGACCGGATTGCAAGTGAGTGATGTGTGGTGGGGAGGGGGGTGACTGGGTGGGAGACGGGGCGCGGGAACTCCGGGTTTGACTGTTATGTTTGTTCTCAGTTGAAAAGGCCAAGATACTGCACCAGAAGCAGTTGAACCAACCGAACCGCTCGGCCTCACTCCCCGAGCACCCGGAGCCAGTGAGACTCCGACCAATGGGGTCATCCAGCGACACCACAGACGGGAATCAGCACCTGTCGCCCGGAGCTGTCCCTGGTCACGAGGGTCCGACAGAGAGACTACCAGGTGAGAGGTGGGCTGGGGAGCACACACACACTGCCCCCACACACGCACGCTCCCACCCCACACACACTGCCCCCACACACACACTAACCCCCCACACACACTCCCCCCACCGCACACACTTGCCTCCATCACACAGTAAGCCCCCCCCCACACACACTAACCCCCCCACACACACACACACTCCCCCCACCGCACACACTTGCCTCCATCACACAGTAAGCCCCACCACACACACACTAACCCCCACCACACACACTCCCCCCTCGCCCCCACCACACACACACACTAAACGCCCCTACACACACGCTCCCCCCACCCACACACACGCTGCCCCCACACACACGCTGCCCCCCCCGCGCGCGCTGCCCCCCCGCGCGCGCTGCCCCCCGCGCGCGCTGCCCCCCGCGCGCGCTGCCCCCCCGCGCCGCTGCCCCCCGCGCCGCTCCCCCCCCCGCGCTCGCTCCCCCCCCCCGCCCCCCCCCCCGCGCTCGCTCCCCCCCCCCGCGCTCGCTCCCCCCCCGCGCTCGCTCCCCCCCCCCGCGCTCGCTCCCCCCCCGCGCTCGCTCCCCCCCCACGCGCTCGCTCCCCCCACGCGCTCGCTCCCCCCCCACACGCTCGCTCCCCCCCACACGCTCGCTCCCCCACCTCCTCCACACGCCCGCGCCCCCCCACACACACACACACACTAACCGAAGCTCTCACTCCTCAGACCCTCTTGCTGGCCCGGTGCTGGGAAAGCCGTTTGGAGACAATCCATTATCTGGAGACTTGAGTACGTCCACCCCGAAGCCCGGCACCATCTTCGACTATCCGACCGGTCTGGTCCAAGTGATCGAGGAAGATCAAGAGTCTGAGAGGTGAGCAGCTCCCAGTGTCTATGCAGAAATGTCTCCCCCTCACCCCCTGACGATGTCTCTCTCTCTCCGCGTGTCCTGTTGTTTAATATCTTTTCTCTTTTAGAAGTGTGGAGACGGCCACTCCCCCCTGCACCCCCAGGCCAGGTCGCAGGTGAGGGATTGTCTCATACACACCAGTGTGGGGCTGTGTGTGTGTGGGGCTGTGTGTGTATATGTAGTTGTGTGTGTATATGTAGTTGTGTGTGTGGCTCTGTGCGCTGTCTGCCGCTGTGCGCTGCTGAGATGCTGTCAGGCGTGAAGGGTGCTATATAAATCCAAGTTGTTGTTGTGCATGTGGCTCTGTGTGTGGCTTTGAGTGTGTGTGTGTGTGACTGTGTGTTTGTGGCTCTGTGTGTGCGTGTGTGGCACTGAGTGTGTGTGTGTGTGTGTGTGGTGTGTGTGTGTGTGTGTGTGTGAGAATGAATGTGCGCGCGTGTGTAGAAGACATGTTGGTTTGCATCTTCCTGAGAGTGGATAGAATTCTGGTTCCTTCTGCCTCTGCACTGAGGAGTTGTGTTGCTGTGGTAAATCAGTTGCCTTTGTTTGCAGAGGGGAAAGTCTGGGCTGGGGGGACGGGCAAGGCGGCTCCCAGTCCCCGTCACTCAGCCAGACCGAGGAGGATCAAACGCACATCTCCGACGTGGAGCAGGATCCCACCAATTGGCAGCAACTGGTGACCCGGGAGGTGCTCGCAGGCCTAAAACCTCTGGAGATAAAACGTCAAGAAGTTATCAATGGTGAGGGGGCAGGACATGGAGGGGGGAGGGGCGTGTGGAAGCTGTGAGGGGACAGTGCAGGATGGGCAGTGGGCGGGGCTGAGTTGCGCGGGTGTGTGTGGGGTGGGGCTGAAGCCCAGGGGTGTTGAGGGGCAGAGGGCTGAGTCCCGTGTGTGTGGGGGGAGTGGGGGGTGGCTGAGTCCTGGGGGTGGGGCGGGGGCATGCTGAGTCCCATGTGTGTATGTGAGAGGGTGGGGGCGCTGATTCCCGGCAGGTGTGTGTGGGGGGTGTGGGCTGAGTCCCAGGTGGGTGTGTGTATGTGGGTGTGGGGGGGCGGTAGCTGGGTCCGGGGTGTGCGCTTGGGAGGGCTGAGGTGTGTGGGGGTGTGGCTCTGTGAGCACTGATTGTGATAATTGTGTCTGGGAGCAGAGCTGTTCCACACGGAGCGGGCGCACATCCGGATGCTCCGAGTCCTGGACGTGATTTTTCAACAGAAGATGGTCCGCGATGGCACGCTGCCCCCTGGGGACATCAAACACATATTCTGCAACCTGGAAGCCATCCTACAATTACATGGTGCGGGGATGGAGGGCAGATTGGGGGGGAGAGCGGAGGGAAGGGGAGCGATGTGGGGGCGGAGCTGGGCGGAGGCGGAGGGTGGGGTGGAGCTGGGGAATGTTGCTCAGTGCAGCTGTTACCCTATCGGGGCTATAAATGGAACCTCTGTTTACATGTGTTTATCTTTGATTCACAGTTTCATTGAATGAACGGATGAAAAAAGTCTGGAAAAAGAACGAAAACCTGGTAGTTGATAATATCGGGGAGGAACTGCTGGCCTGGGTATGTACCCAGTCAGATTGGGCATTGCCCCCCCCACCCCCACAAGGCTCCATGCTCTGCTAATCTGCTGTTTCCCTCCTGTCACAGTTCAGTGGCCCCGAAGAGGAGAAGTTTAAGCGAGCGGCTGCCACGTTCTGCAGTAACCAGCCGTTTGCTCTTGAATTCATCAAAAACAAACAGAAGAAAGATTCCCGGTTCCAGGCCGTGATCCAGGTATGGCCGCAACCTGAGAATGTGGGCTCCGGGGTGGGGAGGAGGGAGAATGTAGGGGGGAGGGAGTGGGAGGGAGTAGGGTGCCGGTTGGGTAAAGTCTCTGAGAATGTCTCACACGGTGCTGTTCTGCTGTCCTGCAGGAGGCCGAGAGCAAACCTCAGTGTCGGCGGCTGCAGCTGAAGGACATTATTCCCACTGAGATGCAGCGACTGACAAAGTACCCGCTGCTGCTGGAGAACATCGCCAAAAACACGGGTACTGGGGGCAGTGCTGGGGAATGGGGGGAGTCAGTGCTAAGTGGTGACAGCTGTATCTGTCCATCTGCGCTGCCCGAGACTACTGCTCTGATGACCTGCTGCTGGGGCCACTGTTCATGTTTGAGCCTCAGAATCTTGGGTAAAATTTTTCTTTTTTTTCCACAATTAGAACAACTGGAGGAGAAACAGAAAGTGAGGAAAGCGGCTGAATGTTGCCGGCATATCCTAAACTACGTCAACCAGACTGTGAAGGAAGCAGAAAATAAAGCGGTGTGTGAGGCCCATGTATCCGTGTCATTGACGTGCTCGCTGCAGGTCGCTGCGTGCCGGTGACATGCTTGCTTGCTGCGTGTCGGTGATGTGCTTGCTGCGGGTCGCTGCGTGTCGGTGACGTGCTCGCTGCGTGCCCCACACTAATGTCTGTTTCCTCACTAGCGGCTTGAGGATTACCAGCGTCGCCTGGACCTGTCCAGTCTGAAGCAATTGGATTATCCGTTGATCGAGGAGTTCCGGGTCAGTGACTTTCTTGTCAATATTGTTAACATTCAGAAGCATCTTTGATAATGGATTAATATGTTACGGGCAGGTGGGCGGGAACTCAGGAGAATAACAGGAACATTTCTTTTTCTCGTTTAAGAGTCTGGACCTTACAAAGAGGAACATGATTCATGAGGGGCCTCTAACTTGGAGGGTGAATAAAGACAAGACAATCGGTAAGTGACAATCCTCTCGGCTGGACTATTCAAATGCCCTCCTCCTTGTTGTTGTTGAAATCACGGCTTATGATTTGGAAAGAAGCGTAGTTTCAAACTGAAAGAAAACACTGACAATAATGTAAGAAAAAGTTGAAATCCAGTGGACTGGGAGACTTATAAAAAGCAACAAAGATACAAAGAAAATAATAGGAGGTGCAAAAAGGGAATAAAAGAAAAAACTTGCAAGGGATATCAAAGGCAAAAGACAACAAAAACCAAAATGACAAACGTTTTTATAGATATATTAAGAGAAAGAGAATGGTAAAGGGCAATGTGGGCCTATTAAAAACAGATGTGTAATAAATAATAATAGTAAAGACTATAATAATAATACCTTATCACATCCTCAAGACGTCTCAAAGCGCTTCACAGAATATACTGTGTTTATGGGGAAAACACAGCAGCCAATTGCGCACAGCAGTGTCCCACAAGCAGTCGTGGATTGAGTGACCAAATTATGATCCAGGTCAAACTCAAGTCCTCATCCAGCCAGCCCCCACCAGTGACAAACCCGGATTCATGTCCTGCTGAACAGGAAGCCGGGAGCTCAGTTCAACATCTCAATTTGCATAGAAACAGGCGGAGGCAATTCAGCCCTTCAAGCCTGTTCTGCCATTCTATTAGATCATGGCTCATCTGTACCTCAAATCCAATTATCCATCCTTGCTCCATACCTCTTAAAACCCTGGCCTGACAAACATCTATCCACCAATTTAATACCTATTTAAATTTATTGAACAATTGACTGAGGTGAGAGTTGAGGTACAGATCAGCTAACTGGTTGCACCAACACTGATCATCAGTGGGATAAAACTACTGTGCTTAATAGACAATAAGGAAATGGAGGCTTGTTGAATGAATACTTTGCTTTCATTTTCACAGTAGAGGAAGAGAACAAAATACTAGTGGTATAAGGGAACCTAAAAATAAGCCAAAGGGAAGTCCTAAATGGATTTAATGTGGAGTTAATTTGGAGTCCTGTAGCTCAGTGGTTAGAGCACTCGCCTTGCAAACGAAACACCTGGATTCAATTCCAGGCAGAGGGCGAAACCTTGGGAAACATTCCTTACTCCACACACCTAATAATAATCCCTCCAAAAAAAAAAACAATAATAAATTGGTCATTTTCAATCCACGACTGTTTGTGGGACATTGCTGTGCGCAATTGGCTGCTGCGTTTCACCCACAAATATACGGTCAATTCACTTTACGGTCTATTCTGTGAAGCACTTTGAGACGTCGAGAAGACGTGAAAAGCGCTATATCAAATGCAAGGATTGTTATTATAAATTAAAGAAAGGTAATGAAGAAAATAACGGGACTAAAGATAGACAAATCTCCAGGAAGGAAATTGCAGATGTGTTAGTCATAATTTTCCAAAGCTCTATATTCAGGAATTGTGCCGTTGGATTGAAGAATTGCAAATGTCACTATTATTTAAGAAGGGAAGGAGGGAGAAACCGGGTAACTACAGGCCTATCAGCTTCACTTCAGTTGTGGGGAAGATACTGGAATCTCTCATCAGGGTCAGAGTGACTGAGCACTTGGACAAGTATGAGCGAATCAAAGAGAATCAGGAAGGATTTGTGAGGGTAGGTCATGTCTGACGAATCTAATTGAACTTTGTGAGGAGATCACTAACATGGTGGGTAAGAGAGTGTCTATGGATGTTGCCTACATGGACTTTCAGAAGGCAAGAGGTTATTAGCAAAAACAAAAGCGCATGGAATTGGAGGTAACCTTGCAACGTGGCTTAGTAATTGGTTGAGAGGCAGAAAACAGAGAGTTGGGATCGGGGGAACGTTCTTTGATGGACGTGACATGACAAGTGGTGTACCCCAGGGGTCTATAAGAACTATGGATGACCAAAAGGATTTGGGTGTCCACATGCACAAATCACTAAAAACAAGCTCACAGGTACAAAACGTTATCAAAAAGGCTGATGGGATGTTGGCTTTTATCTCAAGGGGCTGGAATATAAATATATAAATGATGTTTCAACTATATAGAGCGTTGGTCAGACCCCATCTGGAAAACTGCGTTCAGTTTTGGGCACTGCACATCAAGAAGGATATATTGGCTCTGAAGGGGGTGCAGCACAGATTCACCAGAATGATACCAGGGCATAAAGGGTTAAATTATGAGGACGGTTTGCATAAACTTGGTTTCTATTCTCTTGAGTTTAATTGGTTGATGGGTGATCTGATTGAGGTTTTTGAAATAATGAAAGGATTGAATAGGACACATTCAGAGAAGCTACTTCTTCTGGTATGGGAATCTTAAAATGAGCTCAGCCATTTAGGAGTGAAATTAGGAGGCAGTTTTTCACCCAAAGGGTAATGGAAATCTGGAACTCTCCCCCAAAAGACTATGGATGCTGGATCCAATCACATTTTCAAGATGGAGGTAGATAAATATTTGTTAGGTCAGGGTGTTAAGGCATATGGGGCAAGGGCGAGTAACTAGACCTGAGGTACAGATCAGCCAGGATCTTATAAAATGGCGGAACAGACACGAGGGGCTGAATAGCCTACTCCTGTTTCTATGTTTATGTATCCATGAAAGGGAACAGGATTCTCCTCATGGTTTTTGTCGACACATTTCCCTATATGTTGGGAACCCTGATGGCGGTTTACTCTGTGCTGCTCACAGATCTCTACACGTTGCTGCTGGAGGATATCTTGGTATTGTCGCAGAAACAGGATGAGAAGCTGGTGTTGAAATGTCATAGTAAAAACCTGGCTGCAACTGCGGACACAAAGCACACGTTCAGCCCGATCATCAAACTTACCTCTGTACTGGTGCGTGAGGTGGCAACAGGTCAGTCACATCCAGGTCGAGCTCGGAGTCTCGGTTTGTTGACAGAAGGTTTCACTGTAAACGACACAAAGCCGTGAGAGTTTTGGGTGTGAATTTCTCTCACTGACTCTCCTTTCTCCTCACCACAGATAATAAAGCTTTCTTTGTCATCTCCATGTCAGTAGACGGAGCTCAGATTTATGAGCTGGTGGCACACACTGTCTCGGAGCGGAAAACGTAAGCCCTGGGGGAGGGGAGTGGGGGGGTGAGGGTGAGGGGTTGAGGGTGGAGGTGGTGGGGGTTAGGGTGTAGTCAGGGCTGGGGTTGGGGGGGGGGGCGCTGATTCAAGCTCAGTATCCTATCTGAGGAGGGAGTGGAACAGCACTGAAACCTCTTAATGTTTGCAGGTGGCAGTATCTGATCACACAGGCGTCTGACTCCATTAAACCTCTGCCCCATCAGGTGTCTACAGACCGCTCTGTCACTGAGTGAGTATTCTCTCCCAGCTCCTCCTCCAACCCCTATCTCCACCTCCCCCATCCCCAGCCTCTCCTCCTCCCCCTCGCCTCCGCCCTCCTCCCTTTCCTCCCCCCCTCTCCTCTTTCCCCCCCCTCTCTTCTTCCCCCCCCTCTCCTTCCCCCCCCTCTCCTTCCCCCCCCTCTCCTCTTTCCTACCCCACTTCTCCTCCCCCACTCTCGTCCTCCCTCTCCTCTTCCCCCCCTCTCCTCTTCCCCCCGCCTCTCTTCCCCCCTCTCCCCTCCCCCCTCTCCTCCTCCCCCCTATACTTCTTCCCCCCTCTCCTGCCCGCCTCTCCTCCCTCTGCTCTTCCCCCCCTCTGCTCTTCCCCCCTCTGCTCTTCCCCCCTCTGCTCTTCCCCCCCTCTGCTCTGCCCCCCCTCTGCTCTGCCCCCCTCTGCTCTTCCCCCCTGCTCTGCCCCCCTCTCCTCTTCCCCCCTCTCCTCTTCCCCCCCTCTCCTCTTCCCCCCCTCTCTTCCTCCCTCTCTACTCCTCTCCACCCCTCCTCCCCCACACTCTCCTCACCCCCTCCTCCTACTCACCATCTCCTCCTCCCCCCACCCCCTTCCATCCTATCTCATCCTCCCACCCTCTCCTCCCCCACCTACTTCTCCCCCCCTCTTTCCCTCCCTCCTCTACTCCTCCTGCACCTCCAGCTCCTCCTCCCCCGCTCTCCTCGTCCCCCACTCTCTTCTCCCCTCCTCCTCCACTCACTCTCTCCTCCCCCACCCTTTCCTCTTCCTCCCCCACCCTCTCCTCCCCCACACCTTCCTCCTCCCACACGCTCTCCTCCCCTTCTCCTCCACTCACTCTCCTCGTCCCCCACTCTCTCCTCGTCCCCCACTCTCTCCTCCCAAACCCCTCCTCCTCCATTCTCCTCCTCCCCCACCCTTTCCTGCTCCCCCTCTCTCTCCTCTTCCCCCTCCCTTTCCCTTCCCTCCTCCCACACTCTCCTCCTCCCACACCTCCAGCCTCTCCTTCTCCTCCATTCTGTCTGATTCTAATCTACTCTTTGGTGATGTGTCTACAGGGGGCTCCAGGAGGACGATGTAGAATCGATACCAGCTGAAGCCCAAGGATCAAGTGATGATCGAGGGATCTCTCCACCAGGTACAGGGGTGCGCTGAATCTACACACGCGTGTTACATGCGATTTAGGGACCAAACCAGATGCCATGGTGCATTTTCACACTATGTCTGTGCTAAACATGCAGATAAGGAGGTGAATTCTGTCGCATTCAGTGCTGAGCTGCCGCCCAGAACCCAGGAGCCAGGAGTCCACTCGCTGCCACACGACACTCGGAGCAACCTGTGCGAGGGAGCTGTGCGGAGAGCGTCAGCAACACGTATACTACCCTCTCGCGCAGACCTCGCCCTGAAAAAACGTAAGTAAAATTATCCGGGGCAAAGGAGTGCATCACTCGGGGGCGGGGGGTGTCACTCGGGGGCAGGTGGTGCATCTGGGACCAATCGCTGCCTCAGTGCCCACCGGTCAGGGTTGAGCAGGTATGGTACTGGCATCCACTGTGATTTGGGGCATTCGGTCATATTTCCATGCAGCTGGTTAGTTTTCAATGAGTTATTTTTTGGTCCACAAGATTCCCTGGATATATATAATCTTCCTGGAGTTTGAATAACTGGAATTTTCCACTATCTGTAGTTACCTCATTGAGACAATTGCTGCTTCACTTAATCGATGCTGATGAGGAGAATGTTGTGGCCTCGCTTAAGCACCTTACACAACAGGACTATCTGCATGCACCACTGCAAGAGGAAATTTGTGCACCACGGCAGGAGCACACGAATGTGCTTCTGCAAGACAGTGCACATCTATCATTGAGACGGGACACAATTTATGCATCGCTAGGTTTGGACACATTGCATCCGTCGCTGGGAGAGGACACTATGTACACATCACTGGGAGAGAACACAAGTGAATTGTTGGGAGAGAACTTGATGCATTCGTCAAGTGTAAGCCTGGAATGTACAACTTGTGAGATGCCCAATGAGGCACTGCACGGTCGCCTGGAGTTGGACATGGGGTCACTGCCGGAGACGTCAGTCACCACAAGGACTTGTCCCTCCAGTCAGATCACACTGGAAACGGGAAAATTGGAATATTCTGGGAAAGTTGAGCGTGATGACTGTGCAGTAGAGGAGAGGTTTTATGATGCTCCAGAAGTTCATTCAGAAGAACGTCCACTGGATGAGGATGGTGGACGATCCCAAATCCGTGTCTCAGGTGAGTGACAAACCCAGACACCGTGTGATATATCCCACCTCCAGGCATTCCCAGCTCTGACTGAGACCGAACGTTCTCAATCAGACAAAATGTGATCATCTGATTTGCAGCCACAATATGACACTTGTGTTAGCTCAACTAATGTTAGTTCAAACGAAATATTTCCATTACCAACAACACATTTAATTATAAACTCTTTTCCACTCATTGTCTTGTAGTTGGAAGTTAAATGCTAGATATTCAGATCACCTGCAGTACTGTCTGCATTCCTCTGTCCTTGGTCCCTTCCTCTTCAACATCTACATGCTCCCTCTTGACATCATCCGCAGACATGGGGTCAACTTCCACATGTATGTGGATGACACTCAACTCTTATCTCTCTGCCTCCATCCTTAACTCCAGGACCCACTGATATCCTGACAGAATGTCTGTCAAACATCAATGAGAGCTAACTTTCTTCAGTTGAACATCAACAAGACCAAATCTCTCCTGATAGGCTGCCGTCAGTGCCTCCTCACCTCAGGTGCTGACAGCATCACCATCCATGGTTGCACAATCCACCTTGCTAAGCCAGTCCGGAACCTTGGCGTCTTGTTTGACCCTAAGGCGTTATACAAATGCAATTTTGTTGTTCTACCCCACATTGTGGAGTCCTGTAGTTCAGTGGTTAGAGCACTCGCTTTGCAAGTGAGAGACCTGAGTTCAATTCCAGGCAGAGGGCGAAACCTCGGGCAAGTTTCCTTACTCCACACAGAGCCTAATAATAATCCCTCCAAAACCAAAAACAATAATAAATTGGTCATTTTCAATCCACAACTGTTTGTGGGACATTGCTGTGCGCAATTGGCTGCCGCGTTCGCCCACAAATATACAGTCAATTCACTTTACAGTATATTCTGTGAAGCGCTTTGGGACGTCCTCCCGACGTGAAAAGCGCTATATCAAATGCAAGGATTATTATTATCCGTGCCATGATCCGCTCTGCCTTCCCCCACCTCTGCAACGTTGCCCAGCTTTGCCACTGTCTCACACCGCAGGCTGCCGAAACCCTCATACATCGAAGCTTGACTGTGCAAACTCCATACTTGTTGGCCTCCCCAACTCCATAGGCTGCAGATCATCCAGAACTCGCAAGCCCGTGTCCTCCTACACCAGTCTCCGTGCCCCATCACGCCTATTCTCGCCCAACTCCATTGGCTTTCCATCACACAGAGGATACAATTCAAGACCCTATAATAATAATAATCCTTGCATTTGGTATAGTGCTTTTCACATCTTCTCGATGTCTCAAAGCGCTTCACAGAATATACTGTAAAGTGAATTGACCGTATATTTGTGGGCGAACGCGGCAGCCAATTGCACACAGCAGTGTCCCACAGACAGTCGTGGATTGAAGTGACCAATTTATTACTGTTTAGTCCTCATCCTAGTCCTCACTTTCAAAGCCCTCCATGGCCTTGCTCCCTCCTACCTCTGCGACCTCTTAACCCCCTACCAATCGTCCCGCTCCCTCCGCTCAGCAGACTCCGGCCTGCTTCACGTCCCCGGCCTCATCATTGGCGGGCGGGTCTTCAGCCTCTCTGCCCCCAACCTATAGATCTCCATCCTGCAGTCCCTCTGCCTCCCTTACCTCATTCAAGACCCTGCTCTTCGACCGTGCTTTTGATCCTTTCCCCCCTGCCCTCCTAACCCCGACCCCCAGCTCGGGTCCGAAACACTAACTGTCCAGCGCCTAAGGCGTCCTCCCAACGTGAAAGACGCTTTACAAATGTCATTTTGTTATCGGCTGAGACTTTATTAAGAAGTCATAATTTTGGGCTGAGAATCTATCATCAGAAAGTACAATGTTTTTTGTTTGATTGTTGACAGGAAGTTACCTGATGCTGGAGGAGCTCGAGGAGATGCAGGAAAGCTGCACAGATCCCAACGAGACACCTGCGCAGTTCCCAGAATGCACAGCAGGTAGCCCTGACCTAAGGCCCGAGGAGTGTCGGGCGGACGGCGCAGATCTCCGTACACAGATCCTCCAGTGCTTTGAGAGCCTCGAGTCTGACCTGAAACACCTACAGGTACTGTTTGCTGCACAGTGATTAGCAGAAATACTGGGGAAGACTGAGTTGGGTTTGAAGAGAGGTCCTGCTCTTATGTCTCATGGCTAATTGACTATATTTTTAGGCAGTGGAGCTGGAGTTTTACAGCCAGAGGGAACTGGAGGCAGCATCAGCGCAGCCAGTGGGTGAGTCATTTCTGCATTTAACAGACCTGAGGATGTGGCCCCCCCTCAGCCATCCCCACATCACAGTGTGTACCATGTGTTTTTGGTGCTGTGGTGTGTGATTCTGTGGAAGTCATAATGATGTGCACTGAGTGCTGCAATGTTGATTCTTATTTCTGTTTTCTCTAGGGAACAGCTAATGCTGGAAATGTTTAGAAGCAGAGGAGTCAGATGAGGTGATTGACGTGGCGTTTGGGAATGACCTGCAACTCTGACCGTCTGAACAATTCAGCTAAAGCTTTGCACAGTTTTCAGAGATGAGACCAGTGTTTAGGTGTTGGGGCTGTGCTGCCTGGAGCACACCCTCCCTTCCAGAATCTGCTGATTTTACTCCACATTGCAGATGTACACAAACTCTGGTAGAACTTCAGCTGCTTGGACTGAAAAATTCGAGATGTATTTATTTGTATTCACTTCCTTTGATAAATGCAATTTTTAAATAATTTTATTTTCATAGCCTGCAAAAAGCTGATCTGCAGCTTCCAGGCCAGTGCTGTCGCTGCATTGGTGCTTGGCACTACATGATATAGCCGGGCTTGTAAGATGCAGCTACAGAAGAATGCACAGGTGTCTCTGCCAGGCAGATGTGCATTGTAGTGGGCTGTAGTACAGCACAGCTGTAGAATCAGGATTAAGGACCAACACCCTTTAAGCCATTCCAGTGACAAGATGCTCCAATAATGGGAAAAGCAGGAAACGCAACTCGTCACACCCAGCGCAGTGACACTCTGCCAAGATCCCAGCGGCTACAATCTGAGTGTGAGGCCAATACTTGACCCAAGTGAACCTTAATGCAGCTGTAAGAGACGAGGCGCTGCTTCTCTGTTCATAACCTACAATGACAGGCTGGTGAGATTCTGCCCCAGAGCAGCACAAGGCTTCAACTTTATTTGTTCAAAGCAAATGGTCAGCTCCAGTATATCCTGTGAAAGCTGTGCTGCAAAAGGTCCTTCTCCCCCCCCCCCCCACCCACAGGCTGCAGTGAAGAGTAAAAATCCTGCCCTAGGCAACATCCCGTTTTACAGAATTTCAGGCATTGTTGTCGTTGTTGTTGATGGTCTTTTGAATCAGATCCATGCAGCCACCCTGTAACATCCCCAATATGTCGCAGTGAAAAGTTTATAAATTGTTCTGGAAGGGCTGCCGTTCATGATTTCCTTTGTGCATTGGGCGTAGAGCACACAATGGGGCTGACGGTCAGACCTCTTCAGATTACAGCTCAAACCTCCGTACCAGCACTTAGAAGAGAGGGTGCCCCCTCCCCATGTCACCCCTTCCCACTCCACACCCAAATCTCGAGAAGTTCACTGTCAATGAAATCTTCAATTAACCCACAATGTTTTATTTTCCATTTTGTCTGGATATTAAGCAAAGAAAAGTTTGTTTGCCGATCTCTGCTACAGGCTGTTTAGCTGAGGCCAGTTGGATATCTCTCTTCAGTTGAATTGTCTGGTGTGTTTTCCTTAACGTCTTTGTTGAAATGAAATAATTATGTTTTGTTTTTAAAAGTGCTCGGGCTCAGCTGTGCACATCTCCACAGTAATCACACGCTGCTGCTGCCCGTCTCGCTTCATGGTGCTGTGTCACCTTGTGTTGCATATGGAAGTGACCACTGTAATGCAGCTGCACAATGCAGTCGTTGTGATGCATGAACAAATGGCCAGAAATAATGCGGCCAAAGCTAAAGGCAACTGAGCAGATCTACCATTTCCTGCAATTAATTGAAATTAATTGTATAAAAATCTGCCCCTTTACAGTAAAGCTGAGCTGTACATGGCTGTCTCTGGTTTATACACTGTACAAACAGACAGACGGACAGCTCGTAGCGATTACAAGAAGTTTGCTCGAATCATTCCTGAATCATTCATGTGGGATTTTCTGAGGAACAGTCTCTTTCAGATGTTTATGTTCTCACTGCTCATTCCTGGCCTCTTGGTAATGTACACTTCTTGTATATTCTAAGTTGCCAATGCACATCTCACTGGCCAGGCTCTCGTCAGTTTGTACTTTTACCGGCTAAATGTAGGTGTTTCTGAACATTGCATTTGGTTGCATTTAATTGCAAAATAGCATCTTGTTTAAGATTAGCAATGACATTATGTTACTTGAAAAACAACTAATTCTATTTCTGGGATCTGGGATTTGGTTATTATTAAATCTGCTTGTGCCATTAGACGTTTTCTCTTCCCTTTGGTTCCAGAGGGTTCAAATATAAACCGGATCTGGTTCCATTAGGTGACCTGTCACTCGGGGCTTTAGACCAGGTTCAGGTTTGAAACGGAGGCTTTAGACAATCGATGCATTCTAAGCCGTTAAGGTTTAAACGTAGTTATAAATATTTTACTTGCAGAATGTAATGTCAAGAGTACGGCTGATAATCGTACACTGTGTGATAATGTAAAACATTTCACTTCATTTTATTCATTTAACAAATCCAAATAAAACTTTAAAAGAATTGTGCCAAAGCGTGAGGCTGGAGCAGCAACTGTAACTGGCCGTCACATACCCTTCCACCCAAACCAGCAGCGGCAGAGATCACATTTACGCACCTGAGCCACAAATGATAGAATTCATGAACCTCATTATCTTCTTGGGTAAAGAATTAATTTGTGTTTTCCTAAACTTTCTTGTTTTAGCTCTTGCCAACAGGAAGCTGCCTTTCCCCAGGATCACTTGCTATAGCTTATGATTTTCAAACAAATGTGAAGACAAATCATTACAGATATCGCTGCCTCCAGCTTCAGCTCGGTCGCAGACAGGAACCATTTCAGCTTCAAGCAAAACATTTATTTGAATCAAATGTAAAAAAATCAAAACTACATAAAAATTGTTACTGATTGGCTGAAATGAAATATAAAAGATTGAGTTTTGGTTGCAATAATTTTGCGAAACAATCCTCAAAAGCTAACTGAGATGGTTGTGGGAGAGCATGAAAGGCCATTCAGCCCATGGTCTGAAGTGCAGAGAGACAGAGAACGCAGGAACTACGATAATTTGTTGCCATGAACCAATGAAACGGCTGTTCCTGTTTGCTTCACAACCATCAGGAACCATCTCACATCAGTGGACTAGATGGGGCCAAGTCCTGTCAGTTCTTGACAAAACAAATTGTAATTAAATAAAATAAAACAAACATCCCCTTGATTCCAGGAATAAAGAAACTGTTCAACTGTGAAGCACATTTGGTCATCGAATCTGAACCCAGCCTCACATTCCACACCCATCCTCACTATTCCCATCCAAACTTAGCTTAGTCCATCTTTAGGTTCTGTCTGTGCACCAATAACCAGCCAGCGAGCTGCGTGGTGACCAGCACATAAGACAGGACTGGAGGCAAACTGGAACCATTGAAAGCTGTGGAGAAAGAAAGGATGAAGCTACAGCAATAATAATATAATAATCCTTGCATTTGATATAGCGCTTTTCACGTCTTCTCGACATCTCAAGCGCTTCACAGAATAGACGTAAAGTGAATTGACTGTGTGGGCGAACGCGGCAGCCACTGTGGGACAGTGCAGAGCAGATTGAAAATAACCAATTTATTATTGTTTTTGGTTTTGGAGGGATTATTATTAGGCTCTGTGTGGAGTAAGGAAACTTGCCCGAGGTTTCCCCCTCTGCCTGGAATTGAACTCAGGTCTCTCACTCTAACCACCGTTTGCATTTGGAGCAAATTCAAGCCAATCTTTCTCGTTGCTGCTCATTTGGGAAATCACCCCCCCCCCCCCCCCCAGACCGGCACACCCCCACAGTTCTACCCTCACACAAACCATTGTCAGGAGACCGTTCAGTACTTTGTGCCCCCCCCCCCCCCACTGTTACTGATGTCATACCTCGGCAGTTTTTCCTGTCCCGCTGTAAGGATCCAGTAACACAACTGCACACAGGACCCCGAGGGTCACTGCTGCAGATCTGCTCACAGCCGCCATTCCCATCCTGGCACCAGTCTGCTGCTAAACATCACATCATCATAACAGACCGTTCCCCCCACCTCACACACAGCCCCCCCCACCCCAACACAACCCCAACCCCCTCATACAGAGCCCCCCCAACACAGCCCCCCCCTCCAACACAGCCCCCCTCACACACAGCCGCCCCCAACCTCACATACAGCCCCCCCACCCCCTCCAATACAGCCCCCCACCCTCACACGCAGCCCCCCCCACACACAGCCCCCCCCACTCCCTCACATATAGCCCCACACCACCTCACATAGCCCCCCCACCCCCCCAAGACAGCCGCCCCCACCCCCTCCAACACAGCCCCCCCCCAAACTCACACACAGCCCCCCGAACCCCCCTCACACACAGCCCACCCCCTCCAACACAGCCCCCCCACCCTCACACACAGCCCCCCCACCCTCACACACAGCCCCACCCTCACACACAGCCCCTCCATCCCCCCTCACACACAGCCCTCCCCCACACACAGCCCCCCCCCACACACAGCCCCCACCCCACACACAGCCCCCCCACCCCCCCCTCACACACAGCCACCCCACCACACACAGCCCCCCCACCCCCCCCTCACACACAGCCCCCCCACCCCCACATACAGCCACCCCCCCACACACAGTCAGGTGTTGTGGTCTCGCTCGCACTTAAAACATATTTTACCCAAACCTCAGCTACAAGTCAATCAATATTAAACCGACCTTTTCTCCTGATGGGACCCACAGAGAGGATCTGTTGGTTTGGACGCTGTCGGGTGTGAGAAGCCAGAAACCTGGTGCCGTGTGGACACACCTGTCCCAACCAGAGAACACAAGCACATCACTGCGGGAAGGAGTGGGCTTCTCCCCCACTGGGGAGGGGCCCAGCCCAGACCTGCGCTCAATCACCACAACTGGAAATTATTAAATATTATTATCTTTGTATTGAAATACCGCAAACTGGAGGGTTGGGGCACTGCGTGTACTCACCACACCGCAGGAGTTAATGTCGGCATCACACAGTGTGACATCGCAGTGCAGATGAACCTCTTCGTAATCACCGATGAATTTGAAGACTATGATGTGGAAGCGGCAGGTCAGGGAGACGCCATTCTCCTCCATTGTGATGGTGCTGTCCTTCCCGTTTGGACACCTAAACAAACACATCGAAAGGTAATATATCTGTGCCCACCCATCTGGGGGTAATCTCCACCCCCATCCCAAACATATCTAGAGGTTATGATTATCAAAAACATTTCAACTTATTTACTTGGGTTTCAACATTTAGTGAAGGTGTTCCTCACCCTCGTTCTATGATGACGTAACGAAGTCTGTCTTTGGGGTCTCGGGAGGGAGTGGCCCAACACCGACTGATGATGAGGATGAGTTGTGTGGAGTCCGCTCCCTCCACAAACACTCCAATATAGAGCACATCGCGGGTTGTCAGTGTCACCTCACCCTCTCGATAAGGAAACTTGTAGGATGAGTTCTTGTACAAAGCCATTTTGGTGATGAAGTTGCCTTCCTTTGTTGGGAGAGTGAGGTTTACAACGCTGCCAGAGATAGGAAATAGCAAACTTAAAGCCTTTTCCATCCTTCCCCATGTAACAGCTCCATCCCCCCCTCACAGACAAACAATGTTTCCCCAGTTCCCCACCCTCAATACAGCCCCAGCCCACACCCTCGAAAAGGCCAGGACTTAAAGCTCTGGTACCTCAGCATTGGTTTGATAACAGTTTCAAGTGAAATCTTCAGGTCGAGTTCGTAGGCACATGAGAACTCCACGTTAATAACCCGGTCACGAGTGATGACGCTCCCAGTATTGTTCAGACTTTCAATCCATACAGTGTTTGTGTACATGATGTGCGTCTCGTTCGTCTGTTGGGAATAATAATAATCCTTGCATTTGATATAGCGCTTTTTACGTCGGGAGGACGTCCCAAAGCGCTAAGACAATGGAGACAACTTCATGCCAGTGTCTGGGAAATCTCCCGGCCCTCAGCAGGTAGGAACATTGAGAGCAAAGCACCTTCTGACAGAGACTAAAAATCCATCTCTCCAGGTAGGACCACGTGTCCTCACCAAAGTTCTCTGTGCGTCTCCTCCTCTCCTGACCCCATGTGCAGAGCACTATCCGCACTTAACCATAATTCAGATGTGAACCTAAAACACGAGCGTTGCAGCGGCACCAGAGGCTGTGATACAAGTCTCACCTTTACAATATTTCCACAGTTTCCATTTGTGTTGTTGATTTGAAAGGCGATAAAATTGTCTCCGTCTGTCCTGGGACAGTGCACGTCATTGATCCTCACATCCTCACGCTCAAAGCCGAGCTGATAAAGACGACACTTGGAGATAGAAACCTCCATCAGTGAGGCTGTACACACCACGTCCGCCTGCACAATGTCGCCCTCCTCTAGTGGCAACAAAACACACCAAACAAACAGGCCTTTGATATATTATTAGCGAGGGAAGAAGCACCTCTTCATTAGAACATTTCATTTCTCCAACTTCTTTCCATATGCCTTGCTGCTCAAATATATATAATAATAATAATAATAATCCCTGCATTTGATATAGCGCTTTTCACGTCGGGAGGACATCCCAAAGCGCTTCACAGAACACACTGTAAAGTGAATTGACTATATATTTGTGGGCGAACGGGGCAGCCAATTGCGCACAGCAATGTCCCACAAACAGTCATGGATTAAAAATTACCAATTTATAATTGTTTTTGGTTTTGGAGGGATTATTATTAGGCTCTGTGTGGAGTAAGGTTTCGCCCTCTGCCTGGAATTGAATTCAGGTCTCTCACTTGCAAAGCGAGTGCTCTAACCACTGAGCTACAGGACTCCACAAAATTTAAACATCACAATTATATCTGTTTGTATGGCCCTGGGTACATTTTCACAATTCTCTGCATGAAAAAGATTTACTTATCTGAATTCTAAACACTTTAGCTCTGATTGGGATTATCGCTGGAGAATGTGGAGGTCAAATGTGTTTTCTTTAGAAGAGGAACAATGCCGCAGTGTGAAAGGGGAGGGAGGGGCAATGCAGAGTTAAAGGATAAGAAAAGGGACCTGGAGCGACAGGAGTTACAGAGAATAGCATCACGGTACCAGATCACAAGATTGGTTTGGAAGAAAAAGGCTTTGACCTGAGATCTGATCCTTCCAGAATACCCACCCTCTACCCCTCCCCCAATCACAGTATTCAGCTGCTATTTGAATGGGTCTCAACCACTTTTCCTGATGACCTGTTTCAGTCGTCGATTATATCGGGAGAGATGGGGGTCAAAGATGTGAAAGGTGGGATGAGCAGCCAGGAGAGGAGGGGAAGGTAGAAGAAGTGGAGGCGGGAAAGCAGATCTTTTTGATTAAAGCCTAAATTTAACCTGATTTTGCTTAATCATTTTGGACTTCCAGATTTTCTTGCCATTCCGCGTGACATCACTTCGGCCCGCCAGGTTTGAATCCCTGATAGCAGTTACAATACAGTATAAGTTTATACCAGTGTCTCCCTCCCTCCCATCCTCTTGTCTGTCTGTCTGTCTGTCTATCTGTCTGTCTGTCTGACCTGTCCTTCCCCTGCAGGCTGCTCATTCCTAACCACACTGCTCCCCTCTGCACCACCTCTAGCCCCCACAGCCTCCTGCAGGCTGGCAATGTTCTACTAAACCCGCCGCCTTTTGTACCAGGGTGCGCATCTTGGCTCAAAATGCCCCCCTCCCTGAAACTCTCCCGCTCTGTCCTCCTTTCTCTCCGCCCCCCCCCCGCACCTCCTACCTCTGCTTGATCCACCCCCACCGCCTCCCTCTGCTCCAGCCTGGAAATTCTCTGCCGGGCTCATCGTGGCAGCAGCCACTCCGACTGCCATTCCCCACGGCAAGCCACCCTGGACCCAAACCCCGGGGACTAATCCCCTCCCCCCCCGCCAACCAATCCACCACCCCCTCCCATCCCACACAGCCCCCTCCAACTGTCCACTCCGCATTGGCCTTCAAAATGTCTGTTCCATCTGCACCAAAACTCTGGCTGTCAATGAACTCATCCTCGATGAGAACATTGACCTTATGGCCCTCATGGAAACCTGGATCACCCCAGGTGACATCTTCCCCCTCACTGAGGCCACACCACCCAGATACACCTACCGTCCTTGACTGGTTCAGGTCCTACCTTTCACACCGCTTTCACTTCGTTGCGGCAAACGGCTTCTCCTCCAGCCCCTGCACCGTCTCGTGCGGTGTTCCTCAGGGCTCTGTCCTCGGTCCCCTCCTCTTCACCCTCTACATGCTCCCTCTTGGTGACATCATCCGCATGTTTCCACAAGTAAATTTCCACTTGTATGCAGATGACACCCAACTCTGCCTTTCTGCCTCCACCCTCAACTCCAGGACTACTGGGGTCCTGACCGACTGCCTGTCCGATATCAAGTCCTGAACGAGGGACAACTTTCTCCAACTCAATGTCAGCAAGACTGAGGCCCTCCTGATTGGCTCCCACCAGCGCCTTCGCACCTCAGGAGCTGGCAGCATCTGCCTCCACGGTTGCACACTCACCCTCACTAAGCCGGTCAGGAACCTGGATGTCTTGTTAGACCCTGAACTGTCCTTTCTCCCCCACATCCGCGCCATGACCGGCACTGCCTGTCACCATCTCCACAACATTGCCAGACTCCGCCACTGCTACACCCCTCAGGCCCCCAAACCCTCACCCAGGTATTTGTCATATTAAGGCTCGATTATGGAAACTCCCTTCTCAGCGGCCTTCCCAACTCTTCCCTTCACAAGCCGCAGATCTTCCCAAACTCTGCAGCTCGTGTACTCTCACGAACCAGGCTCCGTGACCCCATCATTCCCACCCTCGCCCGACTCCACTGGCTCCCCATCCCCCAGAGGATCGAGTTCAAGATTCTCGTCCTCACTTTCAAAGCCATCCCTTGCCTTGCCCCCTCCTACCTCTCTGATCTGCTGATTCCCTACCAACCTGCTCGCTCCATCCATTCAGCGGGCTCCGGTCTGCTCCATGTCCTCTGCCCGACCCACCCTACCATCGGTGGCCGGGCTTTCAGCCTCTCTGCCCCACATTCTGGAACTCCATCCCACGGTCCCTTTGCCTCGCTTTTTCCCTCGCCTCCTTCAAGGCCGGTCTCAAGACCCTTCTCTTCGACCGTGCCTTCGGTCGCCCTCCCACCTCTCTGCCTTCCCTCACCCCTACACCACCCCTTCCCCATGTTCTGGCCCCGACACCTGATTGTTCAGCGCTTTGGGACATCCTCATGACGTGAAAGGCGCTTTATAAATGTAATTTTGTTGTTGTTGTAATCTGTCTCTAGGAGGTTAAGGAAAGTGAAAGGACAACACAATTTATATTTTTATATAGCACCTTTCACGTCTTTCAAAACGCTCGAGCTGAGGAGTGAGAACTGAAAGGGTGGGGATGAAAGATGAAAGAGGTATGAGATCTCTTAAGGCAGCCTTGAATGAGGTGAGAGAAGCAACAAACCAGAGGGAGTCTGTGCTAGATTTCCAGAGGGCGGGGCAGAATGGCTCAAAGCCCACATGTGGAAAATGGAACAGATGGGTTAGGAAACATGGAGCATGGTGTTCACTGGTTGAAGCTGGTTCCCTAACTCACTCAGAGTTAATGTATGTCACTGTTATGCATTTACCGTTCTTGGGATCCGAGACCTCGTTACACCCACACACATCCCAGCTCTCCTGCCGGCACAAACTGTAGTTGGTACAAACACCGCCAACACATGGATCCTCAATCAGCTCTGCTAAAGGAAACAAATACAACAGATCAACCCTCTAACCATAACTACTGATTAGCAATAACCAGCAATAACTGATTTACCATTTAACTGTCAATGTTGACCATCAATAAATGATTAACCCTTTGACCTCCATGAAAGGAGGAGGTGTGCTCGTGTCCCAGCCACTATCCCTCAATTACTTACAGCAGTTTTCCTGCCGGATCCAGTCAGTGCTGAGAATTCCAAAGGAGCGACAAGCTTCTCCATAAGCAGCAAGAGAGCTGCACAGCTGTGTTTGCTCATCCAAGTAACAGCCATCCAGGCCACAGGATTGGTAGAATGGTAGTGGATTGATGATCCCGTGACATGGTTGGAAGAATCCCTTCATGTCAGTGAGTTTCGGGCAGTAACCTTCCTTCTGTAGCTTGTGAATCTCCAAGTTATTGCAGCTGAGAGACAGCGTCAAGTAATGTTCCTCGTCACAGCTGCAGCACAAGGAGCGCACACACTGATCAGAACCTGCACTGCGCTCAAGTAAATGTAAAAAATCATCTATTTTACAGGTGCATTATCGTCTCACATTAGCCTGAAGAAAAAAANCCAGACTCCCATCATGCTCATCAACACACTCCTACATTTACCCATTCATTTAGCCACTCAAACCGCACACTCACTCACATAAAATCTTAGAGCTCAGAATGTAATTTGACTCAATGTGTCTACATGTCTATGTTGCTCTTTGAAGGAACAATCCATTCAACCCTATTTTCCCCCATAACCCTGTAAATTATTGCTATTTACAAATCAGTCTTGTTCCCTATTAAAATGTAATATGAATGTTGTCTTAACCACAGCACTTGGCAGGGCAGTCCACATCCTAACAAGCCTATGTAAAAAATAATCCTTCCAATCTTCCCGCTTCACTCCTTTTCTATCTTAAATTAATGATCTCTGAACACACATTCGTACATCCAGCGCTTGGAATCCAACTTGATTGATTTGCAGAGACATCAAACAGCTGCCTGTTAATTCTGCACCTCCAACTGGTGGGACCATCACTTACTGGGAAGGAATGCGTATCCAAGCTGTATTTCAATGTCCTCATTCATTTAATGCTGAACTGAACTGTGTTGTTCTCCAAGAAGCTTGCAGGGAGTTCCTGGTACCTGCCATCCACCTAGTGAGTCCTGAAACCTGCGCTTGTCGGATGTCAAATAACCAAATAATCAGACCTCAATCAGTCTACCAAGAAAAAAAAGTCTTACTCTTTTCCAACAGTGCTGTGTGGGATCATTTAACATTCACCTGAACAGGCACAGATAAAACCTTGGTTTCATCATCTCACCTGAAGGATGGCACCTTTGGCAATGCAGCACAATCCCAGCAATGCAATGGAGCATCAGCTAAGACTTTCAGCTCAAAGCCCCGAAATGGGGTTTAAACTCACAACCTTCTGATATAGGCGAGTGTGCTACCAACTGAGCAAGGCTGATGCCATCTGCCAGGTTAGAAATGATGTCTCTTATACTATAATCCAGATAATTGATATACCTTTTCATTCCTTCAACCCACATTTACACAGAAATGCACGTCTCCTTGCTCCTGATATTTTAATGGTTTCTACCTGTGCTCACCTATGCTGCATGCCATTGGTTTTCCAGCTCTTCGCCAGCTCAATGACATTTTGTGCCGATTTCCCAAGTGAGGTTAAGTCATCGTCATGTGGATTTCCATTAAAGTTCCCACACAAACCACACACTTTGTTCCGCAGCCGTTCTCCCATAGTGATTGACAATAGATTAAACCCATTGTAGCGGATCTGAATATCCTGAAGGGTATCGATAATCAGAAATCCCTCTGATCTGGAGATTTTCGTTGATAGCCCAGTAACAACCGGTATTGAGACCTGTGTTCCATTCACCTGCCAGACAGAAGAAAGAACATCTTTTGCAATAAATAGCATTTACGAACTACAGAATGAGGGATTGTAAAGGGAGGGGAGAGAGAAAGACAGAACAAGGGAAGGCAGAGAGAGAAAAATGGGAAGAGAGAGGGAGGGAGGGGAGAGCAAGAAAGAGAACAAGGGAAGGAGGGGAAAGAGAGACACAGAGTAAGGGAAGGGAGAAAGAACTAGGGAGGAAGAGAGAGAGAGAGAGAGGAGGGAGAGAAAGAGAGTGAGAGAGGGAGGGAGCGAGACAGGTACCTGGACGATATTTCCTGAGATGAGAATCTGCTCCTCGTTGACGTACAAGTAAACCGGGGAAATTACAGTCATGTTTGGTGAGGACCATTTATCAAAGTTTGCAATGAGCTGAAAGGAAGTGTCTGGCAGTTTGTAACAGATGGTGGAGAGAACAAAGGAGCAGGCGGCAGGGAATCGGAGGAAGGCACCATCGAAGGTTTGAAAAATGCCGCCTCCAGCGGCAATGCAGTAGGAACGTTTGTTGCTGTAACAGCCCCGGACGCCACTACGGAGTCCACACACCTCCTCCACCTTACACTGCCGCGAGTCGCACTGGATCATGTTGCGACCAATACATCGACAGTGTTTGGAACAATTGTCATTCCAGAAAAATTGCCCATGCTGAAATTGTAGGAAAAATATTCAATTATATCGGTCACAAGATCTCAGCACAGGCAAAGTGGAATAAGCGGCTCCATTTTGAAAACATGATAATCATAATAAAAGATTATTATAATCCTTGCATTTGATATAGCGCCTTATCACGTCTTTGTGATGTCTCAAAGCACTTCACAGAACACACCGTAATGTGAATTGATTGTATATTTTGTGGGCGAGGCTATAATGATATCTTGTAGAAAAAACGAATGGGAGCAGAAAGTCATGCATGGTCAATTTCCAAGAGAAATTGAACAACAACACAAAAAAATTACACTTGTATAGCACCCTTCAAGGCGGGACGACGTCCCAGGGCGCTGGACAATCAGGGGTTTTGGACCTGAGTTGGGAGTTGGGGTCAGAAGGGGAGGAGGGCTGGAGAAGGTGGGGGTGTAGTTCCAGAGTGTGGGGGCAGAGATGCTGAAAGACTGACTGCCAATGGTGGGGCGGGCAAGAACGGGGGCGATAGGTTCCCGGAGCCTGGTGCGGGAGAGGACACGAGCTGCAGAGGTTCTGATTAATCTGCAGCTTGTGGAAGGAAGAGTTGGGAAGTCCAGTGAGCAGGCAATTGATGTAGTCAAGCTGGGACGTAATGAAAGCGTGGATCAGGGTCTCTGCGGCCTGGGGTGAGAGGCAGTGATAGAGGCAGGCAAAGTTGCGGAGGTGTGGAAAGGCGGAACGGGTCACGGCACAAATGTGGGTTTGAAGGATAGCTGAGGGTCAAAAAGGACACTGAGGTTTCGGATTGGCTCAGTGAGGTGAAGAGTGCAGCCATGAATGCTGATAGTTTCAGTGGCTGAGGAGAGGAGACGCTGCCGGGAGCCAAGCAGGAGGGCCTCTGTCTTGCCAAGATTGAGTTGGAGGATGTTGATTATCATCCAGGACTTGATGTCAGACAGATGATTAGCTAGGACATCACTGGTCCTGGAGTTGAGGGTGGAGGCAGTGAGATAGAGTTGTGCATCACCTGTATACATGTGGAAATTGACCGCATGCCTGTGGATGGCAGGAGCATGTATAGATTGAAGAGGAGGGGAGCAGAGCCCTGAGGGTCGCCACACGTGACAGTGCGAGGGCTAGATGAGAAACCGTTGGTGGCCACAAAGTGCAGATGGTGGGAAAGGTAGGATTGGAACCAGGCAAGAACAGAACTATTGAGGTGGAGATGAGAGGAGAGGCGTGGAGAAAAATAAAGTGGTCAACAGTATCGAAAGCGGCCGAGAGGAGACAGGGAGAACCCTGATCGCAGGTGGACAGAATGTTATTTGTCACCTTGACCAGGGCTGTGACCATCACGAAACTCAGCTTGGAGGGGTTCATGGAGGGAATACCGGGAGAAGACAGACTGAAGCTGGGAAGCGATGACTCATTTCATGACTTTTGATAGAAAAGGAAGATTTGAAATGGGGCTGTTTGAAGGATTGAAGGTTGGAGAGAAGAGATGAGTCAAGAGAAGATTTTTTGAGGGTAGGGGTGATGACGGCTGTCTTCAGGGGGATGGGTACAGTGCCAGTGGACAGGGAGAGGTCAACGAGGTCTGTTAGTTGGGGGCAAGGAGGTGGAGCTGGGAGGTGAGGATAGGGGTAGGGATATGGTCAAGGGGGCAGGTGGTGGGTTTCATACGGGAAATGATGGAGATGGACAAAGAGGAGGAGACAGGCTCAAAAGTGTGGAGGGAGGGATGGGGGAGAGAGCTGGAATGGGAGCAGGTGATGGAGAGTGGGTGGTGGTAGAGAGGCTACAGGCGGCAGAGCGGATCCCCTTGACTTTGGACTCGAGCAAATCTATCATCTTCCTCGCATTTCGTATTGGAGGAGAGGATGGCAGAGGCATGGGAAAGTGGACGGAGGTTGTCCTTAGGTTCCAAAATGATTTGGGAATAAAAGGGCTGCCCTTAGCTGAGGTGAGGACACAGCGGTAGGTCTTGGTGCTGTCCTGCCAGATCTGATGGTGAATCATTAATTTGGATTTGTGCCAACAACAACAACTTACATTTATATGCTGGACAGCATTCAAAAATGCTTAACAATCGAGCCAGGGGGAGGGGGAAGGTGACTATAGGCATAATTGAAAAGGAAGGTCTTCAGGCGCAACCTGAAAATGGGGAAAGAGGGGGCAAGGTGAAGGGTTTGAGGGAGGGATTTCCGTAGCTTCGGGGAGTATTGGCACGACTGGCAATGGTGGAACGGTGGTTTCGAGGGCAAGGAGGAGGCCGGAGCCAGTAGAGCGGAGGCAGTGGGTACTGCTGTGAGGAGAGAGGGGGTTGGAGAGATAGTGAGGTGCCAAGGCGTGGAGGGATTTAAACACTAGAGTGAGGATCTTGAAGTCGATCCGTGCTGTGCAGGGAGCCAATGGAGTTTGGCAAGGACTAGGTAAGTGTTCTGGGACACCTAGATAAGCACTCTGGCCCTAGATAAGCGAGCTGTGTGAGTGGCGTAAATGCACATTGTTGTAGTAGTTATGATCCAAAGCTACAACTGGTTAACTATTACTCCACATGAGAGCCCATCCCAGATCCTATCTCTTATCCCATATTCCGGCCTTTTACCCATATCCCTCAACTTTATTCTCCCTCAACCGTGTGTCCAATCTTTTTTTTTAAACCAATGTGCGTGCACATGGTTGCCACCTTAACAACTGATTTGGCAGAGAATTCCATAGTCCCACCAAGTTCCTCCTAATCTCTGATCCCAGTTATGATTTTAAAACTTTGCCCTCTTGCTCTCGACCTCCTGACTATGGAAATGATCTTTCCGTATCCATTTAAGCTTCCCATCATTTTATACACCTCTATCATATCTCCTCTAGGCCTTCTGAGCTCCAAAGAAAAAAGTCCCAATCAATCAAGTCTTTCCCTATGACTGTAAATCCTCATTCCACAATCTGATGAATCTCCTTTGCATCACTTACAGTGCTTTTACATCTTTCCTATAATGGGATCAAAACTGCATGCAGTATTCTGACTGTGACCTAACCAGTTCTGTATAAATTCAACATGATCTCTTATCCTTATACTCTATTCTCCTATCCAAGACCCTGTTACTTTTTTAATGGCCTTAATCTTCAGTATCCTGTGAATCTGCACCCCTTCTATTCTTCTACCGCTTTAAGATTTGCCGCCTCTAAGTTTTAGGTTCTTCCTATGTTTTTTCTGCTGAAATGAACTACCTACACTTTTTTCATTGAACTCCATCTGCCATGCGTCTGCTCATTCAACGATCCTATTAATATCTGTGTTTCATTTTAATCTTCCTCAGTATACAATCCTTATCATGTCATCAAGAAGTTTCAAAGTTCTTCACAGTAACCTTGCCCCCAGTGCCAACCCCCCGCTTATCAGACTCCTCCTTACACAGGTACCTGGTAGTATTTGTTGTCCACCACACAGCCACAGTCCTGGGGGAGAATGCAGCTTCCGCCGTTCAGCACAAAGCCATTGTTGCATTGACAGCCCTCCACACAGTAATGGTTACAGTCTCTCTGGGGTTTGAGGGTGGTACATCGAGGCTGACACACTGACATGCAACTCACATAGTGACTGTCTACAGGACAGCTAATCACTGCAAACAGAAACCAAACCAAATACTTTATATAAACAAACATCTTGTAGCATATCAGAATGATATTGTGAGGATACAGAGTGTATTTCAGTGTTACATTGAGGGGTGCAGGTTATTTCAAAGAGTTAGTGAAAGGTGCAGTGTTACAATGAGGGAGGGATGTGATCAGGTACAAGAGAAATCATAGTGTGAAAGAACTAGGAGCTTCCTAAACTTACAGCAGGACGTGAGGTTCCTCCAGCCCTGGACCAAAATGCCTTGTGCTTGGCAGGTGCTCGCATAGTTCTGTAACCAGTTACAGGCCGTTTGGCGATTCCCCCCATCAATGCAGGAGTCAAATATACAGTTGTGATAGAAGAAGCCGGGTTTAACCTTACTGTGGCAACTGCGGAAAACCTCATCTTTTGAGACTATGAGTGCACAGAGCTGCAGGGTATCAAAGGACAGTGTGTGGACCTTGTGACAGGCTGGGCAGAGCCTGTCACAGCCCACCTCACAGAACAGCTCCGAGCCCACCACCCAACTCTCGATGTATTCCTTTAGATTTGTTGTGATCTTCCCGTCTGCAGTCTGCAGTTCATCTGCAGGGTTTCCGTTGAATTGGCCACACAGACCACATGTGGAGTTATAAAGGGATCGTGGGATTGTTATTGACAAGAACGTGTTCCAATCGTACATCACTTTCAGACCAAAATCTGTCTCCATAACCAAATAAAGCCCAAATGAAGAAAGGTTTACTTTTCCCGGGCCGAGCGTCAGTGGCAAATATAAACGCTCGTTATTAATCTGTGGAAGAGATAAGTGCAAGTTAAGTAAATAAATAACCGAACCTGCGAGGAGTTGAAATTGTTCTGCAGTGACCCGCGGAGCTCCGCACTCACCATCACTGTGTGTTTGTAGCTCTTTGCTGCAGTGATGTTATAATCATATAATCTGAGTTCCACTTCCTGGAGCCACAATGCCAAAGACGTGTTCCGATCCTCGTACCGCGCTTTTATAATAAAGTTGGGGATGTCACCGGAGTCTGTGCAGAGAGTGCTCACAATGTGTGAGCAGGTACTGTGCAAATCGAAAGCAAAGGCATCAAAGGTGTAGTAATGTCCGTATCCGGAGTTGATGCAGACGGCGTGTGTGCGCGGCTCACACACATACACACCACCGACCCGCAGGCAGTGCTCGTCCCCTCTGCAGGGCACCGCCTCGCAGGTCACTGTGTTATCAGATCCATTACAGTAACAACGCACTTGACATTCCTTCTCCAGCCACAATGTCTCGTTGGCGGAAAGATGTCGACCTCCGTGAATGCAGCCGCACTCACTCCTCGGAACGCAGAGCCCATCCTTCAGGGCAAAGCCCTCGTGGCACTGACAGCCCTCCGCACATGGCAGCGGACAGTCCCGCTCAGCCCCCAGAGCGCTGCAGGTCGCGGGGCAGCCTGTCGTGCACTCGGAAAAGTGGCTGTTCTGGGGGCACGGAATTGCTGTTCGAAAAATAAAAGGACAATTTAGAACATTCTTGAACTGTAGCTTCAGAACCGCACAAACATCAACAATATACGGTACTCAGCGACATGTTCTGTCTGCTTCCCGCCAGCTTCACGGAAATCATCAGAGGGATTGCTGTTGAAATACTATCTCAGATCTGCTTCAGTAAATAACGACTTGATCTAGTTATTATTATTATTCCTGTAACGCCAAAACATGGGAAAAGATCTTCACAGATAATTAGCAAAATTAGCCAGGATTTCCATTCATGAATGCTCTGTTAAAGGAACTGTATCCCATCACAAATCAGCATCTTCAGGAAGGAGAAAAGTCAGAAAAAATACCTTTTTCACTTCCAGGATATGATAAAGTTTAGAAAGGGATGTACAAATATTTAATCTACATATAGTGTGTCTTTGCATCTCACTGAATCTCATCTCACCCACTGAAACTTCACTCAGACACGCCACTGGGTGTCCACAACTACTTTCACGTCTGGAGGATGTCCCAAGGCGCGAATTCCTTTGACCGCAATCTTTCACAGATGTTAGAAATTAGATTGATCCCCAAGTGAAGGCCCAGCGGATCAGCATGAGATACATCTGGATACCTTCAGCATTCAATATTTGCAAATCCATTAAATTGGACCCATGTTCTTATACTGATACCAAACACATTCAGCAAACGTGTTGTATAGTTGAAAAAGTTTCCTGGTCCAGAATAACTTACGGCAGAAAGTGCTGCTCCTCCACTGGAGGAGAGAGACCTCAGCGCCAATGCAGGTGTCTGCATACGCTTGCAGTGAGCTGCACAGGGCTGTCCTGTTGCCACCGTTCAGGCACATGGTGTAGAGGCAACTTCTGAAGAAGGGAGAAGGATTCACGACATTATGACAGTTCAGGAAGGAGCTGTTATTTGGATCATTGATGATTCCACAGAGAGAGCTGCCCTGATAAAGAAGCAGCTCCTCACCAGCACACAACGTGTAGAGCTCCTCACACTCTCCGTTACAGGTTAAGTCATCAGCAAACGTCTTCCAACTGTCTACAAACTCAGCGACATGTTCTGTCTGCTTCCCATTTGCTTTACGAAAATCATCAGAGGGATTGCCATTGAAATAGCCGCAGAGTCCGCAGGTGCTGTTGTAATAGGCGGTAGACAGAGCAACATCGACACGCCTGAGCCGTGAATACAGGATTTTGAAATTATTTTCCGACTCCACCACAGTATTGTTTCCATTTCTGAAGAGCTTCAGTTTCCCAGAGGAATGAGTAAATGGCAATGAAACAGTAAAACCGTTGACCTGCAACACCAACAGGAGAACGTGTAGGAAAAGACCAGAGAGACACATCCACCTCCTCGTGACTTTTCTCAAAGAGACAACTCCCCATTTCTCAGCACATCACTCAATCCCTTCTCTCTCAATCCCTAAGTCACACTGACGGGAAGCTGGTTTATTTTAAAAGCCACTGTTGAATCCCAATTCAATTCTTTATATCTCTATGAAACCACGTTGGACTAAGATACCCTGTTTTGATATTGTCATTGATTCAAATTTGATTCTGGCTCCTTAAATATTTTTCACATTGCTGCAGATTTTACAACCATTCACGTATTCTGATTAACTTTTCTTAACTAATTTCTTAGGTTGCTCAAGCGTTGCTACTGAATGTTTGACCCCTCTAACTCATCCATGAGCGATTTAGACACATCCTGAATACTGTCAGGCACAGGACCTCTTTCAGACCTGTGAAAAGCCCTAATGGTGTTTCTGGGCTCGACAAGTACCGTAAAACTTACCATGTATATGTTATAATAATCATCCTTGCATTTGATATAGCGCTTTTCACGTCTTCTCGACGTCTCAAAGCGCTTCACAGAATAGACCGTAAAGTGAATTGACTGTATATTTGTGGGAGAAACGCGGCAGCCAATTGCGCACAGCAGTATCCCACAGTAGTGGATTCAAAATGACCAATTTATTATTGTTTTGTTTAGGAGGGACTATTATTAGGCGTGTGGAGGAAGGAAACTTGCCCAAGGTTTTGCTCTGCCTGGAATGGAACCCCGGTGTCTCGCTTAAGGCGAGTGCTCTAACCACTGAGCTACAGGACTCCATATTGTGTGGTTACCATTATTAGGTCATATCCAAAAAGGACCTCTTTCAGACCTGTGAAATTTCCAGCATTCAGTTTTTATTTCTCATCTCAAGACCTTCCTCTTGGCCCCCACCCCATCCCGAAGTGAAAGACGCTGTGTAAATGCAATTTGTTTGTTATTTATTTAACATTAGGGCCAGGTTGCTGGAGATTCTGTTAGCTCAGTGTTTGGGACTCTGCAAAGCTTCAGTGGTATAATCGTAGTTGTTACCTTGATAATGTTGTGCTCACTGCCCCCAAGCTTTATTTCATGCTCCGGTAATTTTATACTCAGCGGCTTTACCCAAGAGCTGCTTCCAATTTTCTTTCTTCCCAGTTTAATTTCAAAGTGAGAAAGGTTGTAACTGTTGGAGCTGCAGGTTTTTAGCAGGGTGTACGCATACTCATCTCGGAATTCAAAGACCACCCCATCAAAGGATTGCAGGATGTTATTCTGATTGATGATACAAACAGACACTCGTTTGGGATAACAGCCCCGGATTCCATTCTCCACCAAACAAGAATCTCCTTCAGCACAGGTACGATTCACACACATCACCTCTCCATCGGCCTCGCATACACAGTGCTTGGTACATTCTTCCGTAGCCCAGAATGTTGCTTTGAATGGATAATAACGGCCTCTAGCCTCACAGCCACACTCTTCGAGGGGGACACAGATATCCCCACTCAGGACATAGTTCATATCACACTCACATGCCTCAGTGCAGGGTCTGTTGCAGTACAATGGAGCAACCAGGCTGGAGCAGGAAGCCGGACAGCTGCTGGCACATACCTCATAATGACTCCATTCTGGACATGGTAACGCTGGCTCACAGACACAGAAAATTATGTCAACAGAATAATGATTACAATACATTTATTGTACCTTTCACGCTGGGAGGTCGTCTCAAAATGCTGGACACTATTGACTGGGAACCCGATCTAAGGGGTGGGAGATGAAGAGAGTGGGGAGGGGAAAGATGATAAGAACCTTTGTCAAAAGATAACCCTCGAGACTTTGAACATGGGGGAGGAGGTAAATTGGAGGGACTGTAGGATGGAGTTCCAGAGAATGGGCAGAATGGCTGTGAAGATGCAATTTATTTTTGTTTATTTAACATTAGGGCCAGGTTGCTGGAGATTCTGTTAGCTCAGTGTTTGGGACTCTGCAAAGCTATAGTGATATAATTTTAGGTGTTCCCTTGACAATGTTGTACTCACTGTCCCCAAGCTTTATTTCATGCTCCGGTAATTTTATACTCAGCGGCTTTACCCAAGCTCATACGCCAATGGTGGGGCAGATAGGGCAGGGGGACATGAAGGAAGCCAGTTTATGCTGAGTGAAGGGAGAAATGGGACCTAGGATTGTGGAGGTTTCAATGGTAGGTCGAGGGAGGACATGAAAGGATTGAAAGGTGAGAAGAAGGATCTTCAATCATCCTTGCATTTGATATAGTGCCTTATCATGTTGTTGTTGTGTCTGAAAGCGCGTCACATCAAGTGGATTGGCTCTATATTTTGTGAGCAAAACCCGGCAGCTAATTGCACACATCAGTCTGACGAAGAGTCTTGGATTGAGTCACCAAATTTTAAAAAAAATTTGAAGTGAATATTATCCCCGGAAAGCGATCCACCAATTGACTAACAATTGGGTTCCTACTTCCTGCTTAGTAAACAAATGAGTGTGGAGTAAGGAAACTTGCCTACGGTTTTGCTCTGCCTGGGAATCCAATTCAGATCCTCACACTTGCAAAGTGAGCACACTAACCAGTTTGCTACGGGACTCCATACAGGATCTTGAATTTGATTCACTAAGGGATGGGGAGCCAGTGGAGTTGAATGAGGATGGGGGTTGAAATTAAGAAGGTGAAAATACATATTGTACAATGATTGGCTGTTTTACTTTGACCCTCAAGATTATTCTTGAATAGTTCAGGTACTCTTACCACAGAATGTCCGAGATCGCCAAGGTCCGATAACAATTCCTAGAGCCTGACATGTTAGTGCATAGGCCTGAATAGCCTGGCACAGAGTGGTGATGTTATCACGATTGGAGCACATATCATACACGCAGCTGATCATGAAGCTAGTGGCATCCACCACATTGCGACAGTCTCGGAATGGGCCATCACTTTTATTCATTATCCCACAGTAATCTGGCATGTAGTAAAAGGCCTCAGTTTGTGGATCACAGAAAGTGCAGTTTTCTGAACAGCCATTGGAGCAAGTCCAGTCTAAATCCTCTGTCTGCCACACCCGGCCCAGCTCCCCCAGTGAGTCAGGAGAGGTCCCATCTGGGAGGAAGGTATCGTCTTGTGGGTCATTGTTGAAGTTTCCACACAATCCACATGTGTTATTCAGATAGGAGCTGGGTAGTGAGATGGATGCGTAGTGTTGCCCATCAAAAGTCACCAACAAACCAAAGTCTGTCTCGATGGCTGTAGCAAGTCCACTGCGATAAACTTTGATCCTTGAATTCTCTAGCTGAACTGGAAGTGTGGCAATTGCTCCATCTACCTGCAAATATACCCAATGCACACCTAGAGTCAACAGTAGCCTCAAACAACATTATTCGACTTTAATTTGGTCATTACGTTCCAGATCTTTCGAATGCAGCTCATGTATCAGCTTGGCTAATAACACCAGAGACCAATAAACTAAAATAACATTTCTCAACCACAACAACTTACATTTATGCAGGGTAACATCTTGGAGTGCTTAACAGTGACAGTGCCTGAAGCTGAGCTGGGGGAAGGGAGGAGGTGGCGTTAAGCACAGTCAAAGAGGAAAATCTTCAGGCATGATTTGAGAAAGGGGACGGAGGGGGCAAGGTGGAGGGATTGAGAGGGAGAGAGTCCCAAAGTTTTGAGGCATCGTGACTGAAAGCATAGACGCCGATGGTGGAGCAGAGAGAATAAAGGACAAACAGGAAGCCCGAGCCAGCTGAATGGAAGCGGCGGGTGGTGGGGTGAGGAGTAAGAAAGTTGGAGAGGTAGGATGGTGCATGAAGGGATTTGTAGACGAGTGTGAGGATTTTGAAGTTGATTCATTCCGTGATAGGAAGTCAGTAAAGCCTGGCGAGGATCCCATTCTACCAGTGACCAATTTGCATTCTCTACATGTTGTAGTTGATCCAATATAGACTTTGAGTTGAATGCAAATATCCTGTACATGTGGTATTAAGGATAATAAAATAACAAATAATAATTTGGTGTAATATTTGACATAGCAACTTATCATGTTATCAAAATGTCTTCATAGGATTCACTGCAGAGTGTGTGTATTTGATAGCGAATGGAGCAGCCAATGTTTGCGCACCAACGACTCACAAACAGTGAAGTGAATGAGTTTGTTATCTGGGGATTGTTGACCAGGACACAGGAGAAACTTCCTTCTCTTTTCAAATAGTGCCATGTCCATTGAACAGGCAGACAGGCCTCAGTTTAACGTTTCACCTGAAGGACGCAACCTCAATCCATGCAGTGTTCCCCCAGCACTGTGTTAGAGTGTCAGTTCAAAGTCCTGATATGAGGATTGAGCCTACAACTTTCTGACTCAGAGGCAACAGTACTGCCAGGTGAGCCATGCTGATACCATAAGGAATGAATGCCAAACTATTTAAGACTGGATGTGAATTAATTCAAATCATTGGATCTATTATACTGTTTCAATTTTATTACATTTGTGAAATACAAAAAAATCCCACGAGTCTTAAACCATTCCTGAAACCTGAACTGCCTATAATTGCCAATTTGGCCTAGCGCCAACCAACTGCTGGCCAACCGCGCGCTGCGTATTACCCCAGAATTATACAAGTTATTCCTCAGAGATGTACTTCATTTGATTCCCATCAGTCTCTGTGGTTAGTGCTTTACTGTTCCCATGACTCCTGGGCTGTGAATACACTGGAATTCTGGTTGAAGAAGTCACTGATTGCCTCTGGTTTACAGTAAACTGCAAAACCAACTCTGAATATGCAAATAATAGCGGGTAATGTGTGCATTGCCGAACCTGAAATCCCAATTAAAATTTTTCAGACGCCGTTTTTAACAGCAACAACTTGCATTCATACACGATAGCATCTCGGCGCTACAGCGGAGGGCTGTCCCTATCCCCCACCCTGTTTGTCTGCTGCATTGAATCCTTTGCACAGGCCATCAGGAGGGATGAGAGCATTCAGAGGTGTCACCATCCTGGGCAGTCATGGCAGACAAGCCAGGGCCTCCCTGTATATGGATGATATCACCATTTTTTGCACAGACTAAAAATTGGTCTCGAGCTCCTAGGCCTTTGCGATCAGTTCAGGTGAGTCTCAGGAGCCATGGTCAACCACCAGAAAAGCCAGGAAAGATCGCAGTCACATACCATTTGCGGTGAAGCCAGATTACAACAAAATCCTTGGCATCTGGTTTGGGGCTGCCAGGGCGTGCCAAAAAAGCTGGGAGGAGCATCTAGGTACAGTGAGGAAGAAACTGGTGATGTGGCACCAGCGCTCGCTAAAGTGTGAGGCCTTCTCGGTGTTACTGTACGTGGCCCAGGTCTGGCCTTTGACCAGGAACAACACGACTGCAGTCACAAGAGTGGTCTTCCAACTGATCTGGGGATCCAAGATGGATTGTGTTCGCAGAGACATGATGCCCAAAACTCCGGACAAGGAGGGGAAAGGGGTCCCTAACGTAGTCCTGATCCTCATGGCCACCTTTGTGTGTAGTTGCCTGAGAATGTACCTGGAACAACAAATGTGGCTATATACTGGGTTTCTACCTGTACCGGTGCTAAGAAGGTCTGGAGAACTGCCTCAGAATGTTCCACATAGGTGGAGCCGAACCACCTATCCTATGTTGAGAAATTCCTGAAGAATACGATCCCAGACCCCCGTGCAATCACCGAGTGGTCCGTACGGCAGGTAGTCGAAACAGTTTGAAAGGGGGAGAGGGCAGACCCGATCGGCAGGTACCTTGTGGTGACGGCCAGCTATGTCTGGCTAAATGCCTCGTCACCGGCCCTGACCAATAACCATCAGGACATAGCCTGACTGGCAATAACCCCCCTCTGGGCTTTCATGCCTGTTCCAGGCCTGGGCCAGTCAACACGTTGCCCTCGGGCCGGCTGCAGAGGCCAGGAGACCGGGGACCACAGCTCCTGGATGTAGAAAGATGGAATGGATTCTCTCGCGGTTCGTCCCTGGGGACGTGCTGTCACAGCACTCGGTGCTGTACGGTCTGTTCCCGGGCACTCACAACGAAACCCACAGCGAGTGCCTGGAGGGTCATAACCTCAAGAAAGGAGGCCCTCTGGCTCCCGAAACCAGGTGTTCTTGTGGCTGAACGAGGGGACGGCGAGGACTTGCCCTAGGCTCATGCACGGTGGGACGCTGGAGATGTAACCAAAGAGCGCCCGAACATGTATGTACAGTAAACATGTTCACACTGTACAGATAGGGCGCCTTCCAAAAGCGGTAAGTGCATGTTATCAGGGTGTGCGGTTACACACATGGACACGGTGTACACACATGGACACGGTGTACACACATGGACACGGTGTACAGAGGGGCGACTCCCCACTGTTTTAAAGGGAGGTTCCCAAAACACGTGTGCACAATATGTGTGCGGTGAAGGAATGTACTGTAAACAACGGAATGGTTTCTGTATCGGGAGGAAAGTGAAAATTGTAACAGAAGATGTTGTGTTCGTTTGGAACTTTTGTTGTACCAAATATTATATTTATAAATAATTATATATTTTCAAATACAAATCTCGGAGTTATAGCGGGGTTGAATTTAAAGTATTAAAATCCATCAAGAAAATAACATTTGTCTGGATCAAACTTCCAGGCTGAGTCAAAGGAATAAGTTCCAGAATAAGGTTCCTTCTGCACTTTCCACCCAGTACTCGCAGCTCAAGCACAGAGAGGATTAAACGCAGAGTGAAGCTCTCTCTACACTTTCCCAAACAACATCCAGTGCTCAGCGCTTAAAAAATGCTGAAAATATATCAGATTAAGAAACATCTGCTTGTTCTGATGTCAGGTTGTGACAAAGATATAACTGAAAGGTATGAACTCACAAGGATGTGTCCTGAGTTCCCTCGAGGAATGCGAATGCTGTGGGAATACACGTCCAGTTTGATGGTTTGGAGCCAGGACACAGATGTTCCAACTCGATTTTCATTCCGAGACTCGATGCTGAAGCCTGGCAGGTTTTCCTGATCCCAGCATGGTTTTGCCAGGATATAGGAACAGGTTCCCTGGAAATGGAAGAGCAATCCATCGAAAGTGTGGTAATGTGGGTCCCCAAACACCACACATGAGGCCACCTGGGAGGGCACGCAGTGATAGCCGCCCTCAACAGCCTGGCACTGCTCAAACTGAGAGCACGAAAGGTTCTGACAGTGAATGTTCCCCAAATCCAAACAACGACATTTGGTTTGACATTTCTCATCAATCCAGAAAATGTCCCCATGGCGGTGAAAACGGCCTGAAATAGGTAGACAACAAAGTGAAGTAGAATGAATGAGAGACAGGGAAAGGTGGTGGGGGGGTGGGGGTGGGGGGAGGAGAGAGAGCAACATACGTGAGTGGGGGGGTAGACAGGGAAAGTGAGAAAGTGGGGGGAGGGCGGCTGTGAGGGGTGTGAGTGTGCGGTGAGTGTGTGAGGGGGCAGTGTGTGTGAGGGGGGCAGTATGTGGTGGGCAGTGTGTAAGGGCAGTGTGTGGGGAGCAGTGTGTGGGGGGCAGTGTGTAGGGAGCAGTGTGTGGGGGGCAATGTGTGGGGAACAGTGTGTGGGGGCAGTGTGTGGGGGGCAGTGTGTGGGGAACAGTGTGTGGGGGCAGTGTATAGGGAGCAGTGCGTGTGGGGCAGTGTGTGGGGGGCAGTGTGTGGGGGGCAGTGTGCGGGGAACAGTGTGTGGGGGGCAGTGTATAGGGAGCAGTGCGTGTGGGGCAGTGTGTGGGGCAGTGTGTGGGGGCCAGTGTGCGGGGAGCAGTGTGCGGGGAACAGTGTGCGGGGGGCAGTGTGTGGGGGCAGTGTGCGGGGGCAGTGTGCGGGGGGCAGTGTGCGGGGGCAGTGTGCGGGGGCAGTGTGCGGGGGGCAGTGTGCGGGGGGCAGTGTGTGGGGGCAGTGTGTGAGTGGTGCTGTGTGTGGTGGGGGGAGTTGTGTGAGGAGGGAGGGTGTGAGAAAGGGAGGGTGTGAGGGGGAAAGTATGTGAGGGGGGAGTGTGTGAGGGACGAGTGTGTGAGAGGGGAGTGTGAGAGGGGAGTGTGTGAGGGGTGCAGTATGTGAGGGGGAAGTGTGTGAGGGGGGTCTTTGAGGAGGGATCGTATGAGAAGGGAGTGTTTGAGGGGGGAGTGTGAGGGGGGAGTGTGTGGGGGGGATGTGTGCGAGGCAGTGTGTGTGATGGGGAATGTGTGGGTGGGGAGTATGTGATGGCGGGTGTTTGTAATGGTGAGTGTGTGTGGGAGTGGAGCATGTGAGGGAGGGAAGTCTGTGAGTCGGAAGGTGGATTGCATGGGGGGTGGGTGGGAGGGACGCGCGGTGGCTGTGAGGGGGTGGTGGTTGCCTGAGGGTGGAATATTTGGAGTGTGCATATTAAGGGGGAGTGTGTAGAGGTGGGGGAGAATGTGGAGGTGGGGGAGAACGTATGATGGGGCAGCGTGTGCGGAGGGGAGTGTGTGAATAGGGGAGTGTGTGGTGGAATGAGTGGGGGCGGGGTGTGTTTGGGTGGGTGTATGTCAGGGTGAGTGTGTAGCGGTGCAGAATGTGTGAGGGGCAGCGTGTGAGGATCGGAGTGTGTGATGGGGGGAGTGTGTGAGTCGAGGAGTGTGTGTGGAGTGCGTGTTTGGGGGGGCTTATGTGAGGGGGCAGTGTGTGAGGGGAGGGGGTAGTGTATGGGAGGGAATGAGTGTGTTTGGGGGGGCATTTGTGAGGGGGGAGTGTCGGGGGGAGTGTGTGAGGGAAGTGTGTGAGGGGAATGAGTGTGTTTGGGGGAGTAAGGGGAGTGTGTGAGGGGGGGGATGTAGGAGGTGGTGAAGTTGGGAGAGTGTGAGGGGGGAGAGGGTAAGGAGGGAGTTTGTGAGAGTGGAGTGTGAGAGGAGGGAGTGTCATCACTTCTATCCTTAAAAAACCCTCCCTTCTCCACTCCCAAACTACCGCCCCATCTCCAACCTGTTTCCTCTCCAAGGTCTTGGAACGAAATGTTGCTTCTCAGCTTTGCTCCTTCCTCTCCCACCACTCCCTTCTCAAACCCCTCCAATCGGGTTTATGTGCCGCCCACAGCACAGGAGCAGACCAGGTCAAAGTGACAAATGATATTCTGTCCATCTGCGACCAAGGCTCGTCTGCCTTCTCGTCCTCCTTGATCTCTCTGCTGCCTTCAACACTGTTGACCACTGTATCCTTATCCACTGCCTCTCCTCTCACCTCAATCTTCATGGCTCTGTCCTTGACTGGTTCAGATCGTACCTCTCACACCACCTCCACTTCATCTCCACAAATGGCTTCTCTAACCCCCACACTGTCTCGTGCGGCATTCCTCAAGGCTGTGTCCTTGGTCCCCTCCTCTTCAATATCTATATACTCCCTCTTGGTGACATCATCCGCAGACACGGGGTCAACTCCCACTTGTATGCGGATGACACCCAATTCTACCTCTCTGCTTCCATCCTTGACTCCCGGACCCTCTGATGACCTGACAGAATGTCTGTCAGACACCAATCCCTGGATTAGAGCTAATTTTTTTCAGTTGAACGTCAACAAGACCGAGGCTCTCCTGATTGGCTCCTGTCAACACCTCCTCACCTCAGGTACTGACAGCATCACCATCCATGGATGCACATTCCACCTTGCTAAGCCAGTCCGGCACCTTGGGGTCTTGTTTGACCCTCAACTATCCTTTCTACCCTACATTTGCGCTATGCCCGCTCTGCCTTCCCCACCTCCGCAATGTCACCCGGCTCTGACACTGTCTCACACCACAGGTCCCCGAGACCCTCATACACACATTCTTAAAATCAAGGCTCGACTATGCAAACACATTGCTTGTCGGCCTCCCCAACTCCTCACTCCACAGGCTGCAGATCATTCAGAACTCTGCAGTCCGAGTCCTCTCCCGCACCAGGCTCCATGACCCTATCAACCCCATCCTCGCCCGACTCCACTGGCTTCCCATCACACAGAGGATACAGTTCAAAATCCTGGTCCTCACCTTCAAAGCCCTCCATGGTCTTGCTCCCCCCGACCTCAGTGACATCCTAACCCCTACCATCCTATTCGTTCTCTCCGCTCAGCGGGCTTCGTCCTGCCTCATGTCCTCCGCCTCGCTCACCCCACTGTTGGCTGGCAGGTCATCTGCTATTCTGCCCCCACCCTCTGGAACTCCATCCCACAGTCCCTCTGACTCGCCCCCTTCTTTGCCAACTTCAAGACCCATCGCAAGATCCTCCTCTTCGACCGTGCTTTCGATCTCCCTGCTTCCAGCCCTGCCCTCCACCCTCCCCGATCCCAACCCCCAGCTTGGGTCTGTAACTCTGTCTGTCCAATGCACTGGGACGTCCTCCCAACGTGAAAGACGCTTTACACATGTAATGTTGTTGTTGCTGTGAGGGGAGAGTTTATGAGGGAGAAGTGTGTGAGGGGTAGTGTGTGAAGGAGGAGTGTGTGAGGGGTAGTGTGTGAAGGAGGAGTGTGTGAGGGGTAGTGTGTGAAGGAAGAGTGTGTGAGGGGTAGTGTGTGAGGGAGGAGTGTGTGAGGGGTAGTGTGTGAGGGAGGAGTGTGAGGGAGGAGTGTGTGAGGGAGGAGTGTGAGGGAGGAGTGTGTGAAGGAGGAGTGTGTGAGGGGTAGTGTGTGAGGGAGGAGTGTGAGGGAGGAGTGTGTGAGGGGGGAGTGTGTGAGGGAGGAGTGTGTGAGGGGGTAGTGTGTGAGGGAGGAGTGTGTGAGGGGGGAGTGTGTGGGGGAGTGTGGGGAGGAGTGTGTGAGGGGGAGTGTGTGAGGGGTAGTGTGTGAGGGAGGAGTGTGAGGGAGGAGTGTGTGAGGGGGGAGTGTGTGGGGGGAGTGTGTGAGGGAGGAGTGTGTGAGGGGGGAGTGTGTGAGGGGTAGTGTGTGAGGGGGGAGTGAGTGGGGGGGAGTGAGGAGGCTGTAGGTTCTGTAAGGCAGTTAATGATGGAAGAAAATGGTGGCACATTCACGTGATGATTGCAGTGGGAGCCTGTTTCCCACATTGGCCCCGCCCTCACCCAGTGGCCCCGCCCTCACCCAGTGGCTCCGCCCTCACCCGGTGGCCCTGCCCTCACCCAGTGGCCCCACCCTCACCCGGTGGCCCCACCCTCACCCGGTGGCCCTGCCCTCACCCAGTGGCCCCACCCTCAACCGGTGGCCCTGCCCTCACCCGGTGGCCCTGCCCTCACCCAGTGGCCCCACCCTCAACCGGTGGCCCTGCCCTCACCCAGATGGCTCCGCCCTCATTCCAGTGGCCCCGCCCTCACCCTGGTAGCTGCAGCCTCGCGCAGGAGCAATGGTGACGCCGTCAATCCTGAACAGCCACCGTCCCGGCATGTTCACGTTACTCGTTTGTTCCATGTTTAACACCTCAGAAGTCCGCGAACTCGGCAAACTGAAAAAATGGCTGTTGTCTCCACCATTGAAGCCGACCTGGAAACCAGAGTCACTGCGGTCAGTGAGGGAACAGTCCAGAGAGAAACGGAGAGTTAGCTCTGTCTGATCTGAAGTTCCTGTTGTCAGGGAACACGATACCAATATCACTACAATTAGCAGGAGAGGATTGTCTGAGGTACAGAGAGTTTGGGGGAGCAGTACTGTGGGCTTTTCTGATAACATTACCTGTTGAATAATGATAATCCTTGCATTTAATACAGCACCTTATCATGTTGTTTCGCTCACAAAATATAGTCAAATCAATCTACAGAGAAAGATGGCGCTATATCAAATGTAAGGATTATTATTATTGAGAAATCTCAAAGCACTTCACAGAATATATTGTACAGTGAAGTGACAGTGTGTTTTATGAGGCAAAACGAATAATAATAATCCTTCTATTTGATATAGCATGACATCTAGACGTCTCAAAGCGCTTCACAGAAAATACTGTAAAGTGAATTGAATGTGGGCAAAATATAGCAGCCAATGGCACACAACAGCGTCCCACAAACAGTCACCAAATTATTATTATTTATTTTCTTTTGAAAAGATTATTAACCTGGAAAAGTGATCCCACCAATCGACTAACAACTGAGTTCCTACATACTCCCAGGTAAACAGAAGCGTGTGGAGTAAGGAAACTTGCCCAACATTTCGCCCTGCCCGGGAATCAAACCCAGGACCTCACGCTTGCGGGGCAAGTGCTTTAACCACTGAGCTACAGGACGCCATTCAACACTTACAATGAAAAGTTTGTCCCCAATATCTCACCACCATTGATTAACATATTCATTCAGCACTGCTCACCCCCTCAATACTACATCAAACAATGATGGTACATCTCTCTTGTGGTAAAGGGCGAAACAAGGTTTCCCTGTGTGCCTGTCCCTAAGTGTACTCTCTGTCTGAACCTGTGTGTACTGTCTGTCTGTCTCTGTGTGTACTGTCTGTCGTCCCTGAGTGTACTGTCTGTTCCTGTGTATACTGTCTGTCTGTCCCTATGTGTACTGTCTGCCTGTTCCTATGTATACTGTTTGTCTGTCCCTGTGTGTGCTGTCTGTCCCTGTGTTTACTGCCTGTCCCTGAGTGTATCATAGAATCATAGAATGTTATGGCGCAGAAGGAGGCCATTCGGCCCATCGAGTCTGTGCGGCTCTGACAGACCAACTGACTTTTATTAACCCCACTCACCAGCTATCTCCCCATAACTCTGCAAATGTCTTCTTCAGATACCTGTCCAGTTCTCTCTTAAAAGCTGTTATTGAATTGGACTTCACTGCCCTTTCGGGCGGATCATTCCAAATTCCAACAACTCGCTGAGTGAAAACATTTCTTCTAACCTCCCCTCAGCTTCTTTTGGTTAATATCTTAAGACTGTGACCACAAATCACAGACACACCTACCAGCGGAAACAGCTTTTCCCTATCTCACCTGTCGAAACCTTTCATGATCTTGAAGACCTCTATCAGGTCCCCGCGTAACCTTCTCTGCTCTAATGGGAAAAGTCCTAACTTCTCCAGTCTGTCCTCATAGCTAACGTTCCCCATTCCTGGTATCATTCTCGTGAATCTCCTCTGCACCCTTTTCAGTGCCTTAATATCCTTCCTGAGGTAAGGTGCCCAGAACTGGACGCAGTACTCCAGCTGACGCCTAACCAGTGTTTTGTACAGATTAAGCATAACCCCTACTCTTACACTCTATGCCCCTACTAATGAAGCTCAGTACACCAAATGCCCTATCTACCTGCTCTGCCACCTTCAATGAATCGCTTACTTGAATGCCCAGATCTCTCTGTACGTTCACCCCCCTTAAGATTGAGCTACCAAGCCTATATTGCCTCCTATCATTCTTCCTCCTTAAGTGTATCACCTCGCACTTATTATTTACATTGAAATCCATCTGCCACATGTCAGCCCATTCCACCATTCTGTGTATGTCTGCCTGCAGTCCGTCACAATCTTCTTCACTATTTACTACCCTACCTAACTTGGTATCATCTGCAAACTTAGAAATAGTGCTCCCTATGCCCAAGTCCAGATCATTAATATATATTAGAAAGAGCAGTGGTCCCAACACAGATCCCTGGGGGACACCGCTGCACACCTCCTCCCATTGCGAGAAACACCCATTAACCACCAACCTCTGCATTCTGTCACTCAGTCAGTTCCTAATCCAAACGGCTACTGTTCCCTTAATACCGTGGGCCTCCAGCATTTTTATTAACCTCTTTTGCGGTACTGTGTCAAAAGCCTTTTTAAAATCCATGTAAATAATGTCCACCGCATTTCCCTCATCAACCCTCGTAGTCACCTCTTCAAAAAATTCTATTAGATTTGTTAGGCAAGATTTGCCTTTAACAAATCCATGTTGGGGGTCTCTAATTACTTTGTGTTCCTCTAAGTAGAGATTTATTTTGTCCCGGATTACGGTCTCCAGTAGCTTTCCTACTACCGAAGTTAGGCTGACTGGCCTGTAATTTCCGGGTTTGTCTTTCTGCTCCTTTTTGTAGAGTGGGATAACATTAGCCACTCTCCAGTCTCTTGGCACCACTCCTGTGTCCAATGACGATTGAAATATAATGACCAAAGCCTCTGCTATTTGAACCCGTTGTGAAGACAGATGCAAAATACCCGTTCAGTACATCAGCCATCCCTCTGCCTCCACAACAAGATTGCCGTCATTGCCTTTGATTGGCAATGTTGATTGGCAATTACCTTTAACTAACCTTTTTTCCTTTATGTGCTTATAAAATATTTTAGGATTCCCCTTTATGTTACCCGCTAACCTCTTCTCATGGAATCTTTTTGCCTGTCTTATCGCTCTTTTAAGATCACTCCTGCATTCTCTATAATGCGCTTTGCTATCCTCAGTGTCTTGCATACGCCAATTGTCGTACGCCATCTTCTCCTTTTTCATCCTAGACAGAATATCCCTGGTCATCCAGGCTGGCTTGGTTGTCGCACATTTCCCTTTTAATAATAATAATTCTTGCATTTGATATAGCGCTTTTCACATAGGGAGGACGTCCCATAGCGCTTCACAGAACACACTGTAAAGTGAATTGACTGTATATTTGTGGGCGAACGCAGCAGCCAATTTCGCACACAATGTCCCACAAACAGTCGTAGATTGAAAATGACCAATTTATTATTGTTTTGTTTTGGAGGGATTATTATTAGGTGTGTGGAGTAAGGAAACTTGCCCAAGGTTTCGCTCTGCCTGGAATTGAACTCAGGTCTCTCACTTGCAAAGCGAGTGCTCTAACCACTGAGCTACAAGGACTCCTTTTTGTGGGAATATATCTATTTAGACCTTGAGCTATCGTATCTTTGAAGATTTCCCATTGCTCATGAGTCGTTTTATCTGCTAGTCTTACTTGCCAGTCCACCAACTGTAGGTCCCTCTTTAGCCCATCAAAATTAGCTCTTTTCCAGTCAAGCATTTTCACCCTTGACTGTACTTTGTCCTTGTTAATGAGTAATCTAAATCTAATAATATTATGGTCACTGTTACCTCGATGCTCCCCTACCGAAACCTGTTCAACCTGACCTATTTCATTCCACAGGACTAGATCCAGCAATGCTTCCTTCCTCATAGGACTGGAGATACTGCTCAAGAAAATTTTTCTGTACACAGTTGATGAATCTTTCTCCTGCCTTGCCCTTAACGCTGCTATTTTGCCAGTCTATATTGGGATAATTGAAATCCCCCATTATTACAACTCTGTTCGCCCAACATCTGTCCGTGATCTGGTTGCAGATCTGCTCTTCTATCTCCTTCCCGCTATCTGGTGGTCTATAGTAAACCCCTATCAGTGTAACCACTCCTTTCCTATTTCTGACCTCTAACCAGATCGATTCTGTTATCGGGCCCTCCAGAGCCTCGTTCCTTCCTACACACCTGCAATTTTATCCTTAACTAATACTGCCACCCCTTCAATCTTTCTTCTTTCTCTATCCTTCCTGAACACATTATATCCTGGAATATTTATCTCCCATTCCTGTCCTGGCTTGAGCCATGTATCAGTTACTGCTACCACATCGTAACCCCCTACGGCCAGTTGAACCGGCAGCTCATCAACCTTATTCCCTAAGCTACATGCATTTAGGTACATGCATTTGAGGAAATTGTCCACATGTACCTGCTCTATATTTCCCACTTGTCTTTTTCCTCTATTTCCTAATCTATTGTTTATCCTGGGATACCCATTCCCACCTCGCCACTAGTTTACATTAGCCCCCCAGCATTTGATAATCTCTTGGCCAGGAAGCTAACCCCTGCCTTGCTTAAGTGCCGCCCATCCGCAAGGTAATGATCCCACCTCCCCCAGTAGTGGTCCCAATTGTCCACAAAACGGAAACCTTCTTTTCTGGACCATTTTTCCAGCCAGTCGTTCATACGCCTGATCTTTTCATTATGGTGCCCCGTTGCCTGAGGCACCGGGAGTAATCCAGAGATCACCACCTTGGATGTTCTGGCCTTGAGTTTGTTCCCCAACTTTTGATACTCGCCCTGGAGTATCTCAGTGTACTGTCTGTCTCTCCCTGTGTGTACTGTCTGTTCCTCTGTGCACTGTTTGCCTGTCCCTGTCTGTACTGTCTGTCCCTGTGTAGAGTGCGAGTGGCATGCTTGTACGGGAACCTGTGCTGCTGAGCCCCCCACTCCTGTCAGTGGGTCTCCTCCACTTGCAGTCCCTGTTGTCCAGTGAATCTCAGCGTAGTTAAACATGGCGAAGGAAACTCTTCCATCTGTGACCAGAATGCACTGAAATGTGTTCACCTATAAAAACAAATCAACAACAACTTGCATTTGTGCAGTGCCCTTCGCTGCAAGATAGTGTCTCAGAGAGCTTGGCAGTATCAGAGTCTGACCCTGAGAGGGAGCAGGGAAGTGACCGTAAGCACAATCAAAAAGGAAGGTCCTTTACAACAACGAATAATTGTATAGCGCCCTACATGTCGGAAAGACTTCCCAGGAGGCTGGAAAATCAGGGGTTTTGACCTGAGCTGGGAGTTGGAATCAGGAGGGTTGGAGGGCAGGTGGGGTGGGCATGCGAGGATGGCTGAAGGCACGGTCAAAGAGGAAGGTCTTTAGATGAGCAGAGGGATTGCAGGATAGAGTTCCAGAGTGTAGGAGCAGAGATGCTGAATGCCTGATCACCAATGCTGATATGCGGTTAGGAGGTCGGAGAGGTGGGGGGGCAAAACCGTGGAGGGCTTTGAAGGTGAGAATGAGGGTTTTGAACTCAATTCTCTGAGGGATGGGGAGCCAGTGAAGCCGGGCAAGAATGAGGGTTGATTGGTTTGTGGAGCCTGGTGTGGGAGAGGACACGAGCTGCAGCTTGTGGAGGGAAGAGTTGGGAAGTCCAGCAAGCAGGTAGTTGGCCTTGTCAAACTGGGACATGATGAAAGCGTGGGTCAGTGTCTCGACGGCCTATGGTTGAGGTAGTGGTGGAGGGGGGCAATGTTGCGGAGATGGGGAAAGGGGGAATGGGTCGTGGGGTTTGAAGGCTGGCTGAAGATCGAACAGGATCTGTATTGGCTCAGTGAGGTATAGAGTGCAACCATGAATAGTGATATCATAGAATTATACAGCACAGAAGGAGGTCATTCGGCTCATCATGTCTGTGGTGGCTCTTGGAAAAGAGCTTCCAATTCAATCTCCCCCGCTCTCTCCCCATAACCCTGATCAACCCCACTCCCCTGCTCTCTCCCCATAACCCTGATCAACCCCACTCCCTCGTTCTCTCCCCATAGCCCTGATCAACCCCACTCCCCCGCTCTCTCCCCATATCCCTGATCAACCCCACTCCCCCGCTCTCTCCCCATAGCCCTGATCAACCCCACTCTCCCGCTCTCTCCCCATAGCCCTGCAAACTTGTCCTCCCCAAATAATTATCTACTTCTCTCTTAAAAGTTGTTATTGAATTGGCTTCCACCGGCCTTTCAGGCAAAGCATTCCATATCTGAACAACTCGCTGTGTAAAATAATTTCTCCTCACCTCCCCTCCGTTTCTTTTAACAACTATTTTAAATCAGTGTCCTCGGGTTACCGACCCACCCGCCAGTGGAAATAGTTTCTCCTTGCTCACCTTATCGAATGCCCTCATAATTTTGAAAACTTCTATCAAGTCTCCTCTTAATCTTCTCTGGTCCAAGGAGAATAATCCAAGCTTCTCTGCCTCTCCTGATAACTGAAGTCAAACTCAACTTCTCCTTGTCCACTGGTTCAGTTCCCACCCCCCTAAAAACAGTCGTCATCACCCCATCCTGAAAAAACCTTCCCTGGACACATCCCTCCTCTCCAGCTACCGCCCCATCTCTAAACTCCCATTCCTCTCCAAGGTCCTGGAATGAGTCGCCGTGTCCCAGCTCCACTCCTTTCTCTCTCGCCATTCCCTCTTTGAACCCCTCCAATCCGGCTTCCGCGCTGCCCACAACACGGAAACAGCCCTGGTCAAAGTCACTGATGACATTCTAAACATTTGTGACAGGCTCCCTCCCTCTGCCTCCTTGTCCTCCTCGACCTCTCTGCCGCCTTCGACACTGTCGACCACTCCATCCTCATGCACCACCTCTCCTCTTTACTTAATCTTCGCGGATCTGCCCTTGCCTGGTTTGATTCCTATCTCTCTCACTGTCTCCACTTTGTTGCCTCTAACAGTTTCTCCTCCAGCCCCCGCACTGTCACGTTTGGCGTCCCCCAGGGCTCTGTCCTTGTCTCCTCTTTAATATCTACATGGTCAACTTCCATATGTATGGTGATGACACCCATCTCTATCTTTCTGCCTCCACCCTCAACTCCAGGACCACTGCTGTCCTGACAGACTGCCTGTCAGCCATCAAGTCCTTGATGAGGGCAAACGTCCTACAGTTGAATGTGATTAAGACTGAGGTCCTCCTGATTGGCTCGCGCCAGCGCCTCAGCACCTCAGGCTGTGGCAGCATCAACCTCCATGGTTGCACGCTTCAACTCATCAGCCAGTCAGGAACCTGGGGGGTCACAATGGAGTAGGGCAAGAATGGGGGAGATGGGGTCACAAACTCCATGACCCCATCTCCCCCATTCTTGCCCTACTCCATTGGCTCCCTATCCTTCAGAGGATCCAGTTCAAAATCCTGGTCCTCACCTACAAAGCCCTCCATGGGCTTGCCCCACCCTACCTCTGTGACCTCCTAACCCCTACCAACTCGCCACATAAAAGCCATGACCCTCTCTGCCTTCCCTCACCTCCGTAACATCGCCCGACTCTGCCACTACCTCACCCCTCAGGCTGCTGAAACTCAGCTCAGCTCAGCCGACTCCGGTCTGCTCTACGTCCCCCGACCCACCCGCCCCACCATTAGCGGGAGAGCCTTCAGGCACTCTGTCCCCAACCACTGGAATTCCATCCCCCAATCATTCTGCCTCGCCCCCCCCTTAGCCTCCTTCAAAATGCAGACAATGCTGAAAGTAGGATTGGAATCAGGCAAGGACAGAAGCGTTGAGAGGTGAGATGAGAGGTGGTGGAGAAGAATAGAGTGGTTGATGGTATCGAAAGTGGCTGAGAGGTCAAGAAGGATGAGGAGACAGAGAGCCCTGGTCACAGGTGGACAGAATGTCATTTGCTACTTCGACCGGGGCTGTCTCCATGCTGTGAGCAGCATGAAACCCAGATTGGAGGGGTTCATGGAGGGAATGCTGGGAGAGGAAAGAGTGAAGTTGGGAAGCGCTGACTTATTCCATGACCTTGGAAAGAAAAGGAAGGTTTGAAATTGTATGGTCGTGAAAGATGGGTCAAGGGAAGACTTTTTGAGAGTAGGGATGATGACGGCTGTCTTTAGGGAGAAGGATACAGTATGGTGGACAGGGAGAGGTTAATGATGTCTGTTAGTAGGGGGGCAAAGAGGTGAATCTGGGAGGTGAGGAGAGGGGTAGGAATAGGGTCAAGGGAGCAGGTGGTGGGTTTCATATGGGAAATGATGAAGGTGAATAAAGGAGAGAAAACAGGGTCAAAAGCGTGGAGGGAGGGATAGGGGGTGGTGGTGGGGGCCGGAAGGGGAGTGAGAGATAGGGAGGGGGTGATGGTAGAGGGGCTAAAGATGGCAGAGTAGACCCCTTCGACGTTGGACTCAAGGAAATCCATCATCTGTTCACATTTGGGGTTGGAGGAGAGGATGGCAGAGGCATGGGAGGGTGGATGGAGGAGTTGGTTAATGGTAGAAAAGAGGAGTCTGGGGTTGTCCATAGCTTCCTAGATGATTTGGGAATAAAAGGATGACTTAGCTGAGGCGAGGCAGAGTAGTAGGTCTTGGTGCAATCCTGGCAGATCTGAAGATGAACAGTTAAACTGCATTTGTGCCAAGTGCATTCAGCATTGTGCAGGTGAGATTGGAGGGAGCGAGGTAGCTGGTGTACCATGGGGATTTCTGCAAATATGAGGTGGTGCGGGAGATGACGATGGCAAGGGTATCAAGGATGACCAAGAGGGAGTTATTTAGAAGGGTGACCATGGAGGTCATTGCCGGAGGAAGGCCAGAGGTGTAGGAGTTCAGATGTCTCCAGGACAGCGGAGAGGGTATGGAGGGGGATTTTTCTCCAGGGGAAATAAGATTTGAATGTGGGTCATGAAGGGGAAAGGCGGAGGGATTGAGGGAGAGAATTCCAGAGTTTTGGGCATAGTGGCCGATGGTGGAATGGAGGGCATGAGAGCCAAGCAGGAGGCCGGAGTCAGCCAAGCGGAGGCAGCGGATTGTGTGTTGTGGGGTAAGCAAGTCGGATAGCTCTGGAGGTGTGAGGGATTGAAGGGATTTGAAAATGAGTGAGAGCATCGTGAAATTGATCCATTCGGTGATTGGGAGCCAGTGGAGCCTGGCTAGAACTGGTGTGATGGGGATACGGAGTTTTGTGCAGGTGAGTATCCAGATGGCAGAGTTATTAATTAATTGTATTTTGTTCATGGTGGAGCTGGGGAGATCAGCGAGGAGGGCATTAGAATGGTGCAGCCGGGAAGTGACTGTTGTGAGGTATGGACGGTGGTGGGCAATGTAGCAGAGGTGGAAAAAAACTACTAATAATATTATTATTATTATTATTAAAAACGATCCTGGTCAGGGAATGGATGTGTGGTAGAACGGAAGGCTGGGCATAGAACCTGATACCTAAGTTGCACACAGGTTCGGAGAGTCTGCTGGAGAACCCGGGGAGGTTGAGAAGGTCAAGCCCGCAAAGAGTATGGCTTCCATCTTGCCGACATTCAGCTGCAGGAAATTTGCACTCATCCAGGCCTTGATGTCCGTCAAACAAGCTGACAGGACACCAGTAGACTGGGAGTCGCAGATGAAGGAGAAATAGATTTGGGGAGGACGAGGAGGCAGAGGGAGCCCTGGTCACAGGGAGAAAGGAAGTAATTTGTTACTCTGTGCTGTGTGCTGGGCCAAAACCAGACTTGAGGATCCTCGAGTAAGAAGTGGAGGGTGAGGTGTGAGAAAAGTTGATTTGCAACAACACATTCCAGGGCTTTGGTCAGGAAGGGCAGGGTTGAAATGGGACGGTAGTGCCCGAGGTTGAAGGGATCGAGAGTAGCTTTTTTAAGGAGGGGAGTGTTAACAGCTGTTTTGAGGTAGGGAGTGGGCCTGAGGAGAGGGACTGATTTATCGTGTCTGCCAGTAGTGGACAGCGGAGGACCAGCAGCTGGGTGAGGAGGGGGTCGAGGCAGCAGGTGGTGCGTTTCATCTGGGTGATGAAGGATGAGAGGGAGGAAGAAGAGATGGAGGCAAACAATTGTAGGTTGGGGCCTG